ACTGAATTAGCTGGAGTACATCAGAACGATACTGATTACGATGGGGCTGGGTTTGCCCACAGCACATGTGTCTTTACTGCATAATTATGCAACAATCCACTGACAGGCTGTCGTCAATTAATCTGCTTAGAAACGCCAACTGGGAGCTTCTACTGTATGTTGTAACCTTTGGGTGTTATCTATATCGTGCTCATTGAACGTCTACTTCCAGTAAATCCACCAGCATACATCCAGAAAAACTCTTTAAGTAAAATTAGCAATAGCACAATGTACATGTCACTGTAATGTTGTCACAGGTAAAGATGTGGTTAATTTTAAATGCTTTATTGGTAGCTTAATCTATGATGAGGAAATATATTTGTTTGTATTTTGTCTTAATAATCTGAATCTGCAAAGTAACTAGAAAATTAAGCTGCCAAACAAATGTAGTGGAGTAAAAAGTACAATATTTCCCTCTGTAACGTAGTGGAGAAGACGTATAAAGTAGCCCCAAATGGACTTTCAGTCAAAAGAGACAGGAGAATGAAGTAAGATAATATTTAATACAGAATATGAGTGTACAGATTAACAGATGATTTATGATGATTAAGATTTAACAGAAGTCTTTTGCGCTTGTACACCAGAGAGAGATATTTTGTGATCGAGGGACATCTGAGCAGCAGCAGGATAAATCCCCCCATGGAGTCCAGACACTGGTGGTGGTGGTGGCTGATGGATGATGAGGCGGATGAGGCTGATGAATCTGTAAAGACTAGGTGGTGATGGGGAGGTGGAGGGTGCAGCAGCAAGAAAGAAGTATGGCAGAGAAAGAACCATATTTAAAATGAGGAGCAGTAAGATGATAGGCTGACAGAGAAGGTGTGTCGCTGTGCTGTTGGCTGATTGAGAATCAGCTGATGACTCATTTGACAGCCCAGACAATGACAGCTAGAGATGGAGAGTGAGCATGTGTAGTAGGAGTGAATGGCAGGGTGAGAAAGAAAACAGCCACGTAAGTGGGACGCTGATCATGTAATGAGGGAGCCAATGAAGCAAGTGACGTAGATTTGCTGAGGAGACAAGAAACTGTTGAAGACACATCATCTTTGTACATTTTCCCCACAAATTATATAGTGTCTTATACACCCACTGTTCCAAAAGAAAAAAGGGCCACTAGTAAAGGTGGAATTAGTCACCAGTTTTCCTTTAAACTAGCTTAGCCAGTACATGAAGTACGAGGGTTACTATTGATAGAGCTGGGGTGTCACTTAAAAAATATTTGCTGCAGGACAGGCAAATGTAGCATGGAGCCGCGTTACAAGTTTATCAGGATGAATTATTTAAGACATTTAGGACAAGGCCATCAATTGTAAAGATGATGTTCACCAAGAGATTCAGTGCATGTCACAGTTTCTTTGTGAAAATAGGACAGGACACAAATTTCACACAAAGTTTGATACAACGTAGTGTTTCACTCTAGTGGACTAAAGGCCCTTCAGTTTTTTTTTGGACAACAGCAATGACCTGACACCTCCCACACAGCTCCTGGATGATATGTCCAATCTCATATTGACCAAAAACTATTTTCCCTTTGAAAATGATTTCTTCCTACAGACTCAGGGCATTGCTATAAGTGTGACATTTGCGCCAGACTCCATTAATCTGTTCATGGGCTACATTCCACAACATTTTTTTTGATTTTCAGGGGCTCACAATCTGAGTTGACTGCTTTTGGTGAATATATCAATTCACTTTATGATACCATCAAACTCAGTATGGAATTTAACACTTCTGCTATTCATTTTTTAGATACTCAAATTACACTGACTGACATAACACTGTCCTCAGCCTCGATGGGCTTCTTCCAAATCTACTGTAGCTAGACACTTCCAGGAGGCCAAACATGCAGCCACTGCACTCCGTTTCTTTGGCATTGATGTAGTTAATCCTAGTTGCAAAAATACAGATCTGGAAACTAAACTCCTGCACTGTGAAAGATGATGGATCTTTCCTCTCAAAACCACCTTTTTTTATGCACAGATGTCTTAAATAAATAGACTGTTTTTGATTTGATCTCAGCCAGTGGACCTTCTTGTGGCTTTCTAGCCCAGTTTCAATGGTGTGCGGGTATCTCCTCTGCTGTTCTTTCTAGTTCCAAAATTAGACCATTGTACATTAGACCAGGCTGACTGCCGGCCATCTTGGATTTGACGTCCACATCTGAAAAATAAACCTAATGGTATGCACTAAATATCCTAGAAATGTAATGCTTTTATCTTTTAATGCACAATTACTATAATATGAGAACGTATCCACTGAACTACAGAACCAGCTTTTCATCCACACGTGTATTATACACTTCAGTATGATGTCCCTGCATTATTTCAAGTTTCTCTGTTTTTTATTATGTCTAAAATCCTGAGCATCTATGTCTATATATTCTACACATTTTCAATAATTGCTCCAGATTACTAACTTGAACATTCGTGTGAAAAATGTACAACAATAATGTGTCTTCACCAGTTTCACGTCTCTTCAGCAAATCTACATCACTTGCTTATGTGGCGTTCCTTTTGAATGTTTACTCTATTTAATAACTGCAAACACAGCATCTTTCTGCCTAACAATAATATTTAATATGACAACTTTAAAGACGTTACACCGCAGGTTCACACCTACACTGTCAACATACAATAGCCTCATTTTTACTGGAAGCAGTGGGAAAAATATCTCCAACAACAACCACACTTACATCACTGAACAGGGTTAAATCATCACTTTGTGTGATCTGCCATAATCTGCAATGTGCCATCAGTTTGTGATCAACCATGGGTATTCATCAACTATAAAAATTTGCACTGACTGTATTTGGCAGACAAGCTATTATATATAGAGGTGTGTAGGGTAATTTCATGCCTGTGCCATTGTTACGTGAATTAGAAATAATTTAAGCATATAAATTGTTTGCAGTAATGCCAGTCGGAGCAGTTAACGATACACAAATGTACACAGGGTGACGACACAGTGTCAATAGTAGCCTTGATGACTCATACTGTAGTGTTCTAATTAAATGTCTCTTTTCTGTTCCTGCACCATCTGTTATAAAAACATGAGACGGCTCCAGATTATTACCACAGATCTTGTCATAGCACCATTGTATTATTTGATTTTTATTGTGCTCTGGTGACCTCAGAAGTAACACCAGAAATAAATGGCTATCTCCAAATCACTTGTAAATGACATCTTAAATGTTTTTCACTCTGTTTAGTTACAGAATTAAATGCATTTCAACATTAGACTAGGTAAACTGGCAGCCATCTTGGATTTGATCTCACATGGTCCTCAGAGGTGAAATTTGACTTCCCTCAGCATCTGATAATAAACATTATGACGCTATGAAATGCTAGAATTTTTATGCTTTTCTACTAAAATGCACCATTGTTATAGTATGAGAGTTTATCTGCTGCTCCACTCACATGATAACCAGTATGTTATTGTGTATCATTTATAAGTCTTGTTGTTTTTAAGGTTTGTAAGAAAACAGAATCATATGTGGGGAAAAAACACAGTCTTTGTATTTTTTTATTATTATGATATGTGAAAGTTTAATGAATTTAAGGAGCTGTCTGTGACATTCAAAGCATATCTATGATTCAGAGTCTGGGGCGTGAAAGTCTGCATAAGGTTTTCAACACGATGGTGGCTGAGCTGGAAGCTAGCAGCTAACAGTGCTAGCTCTATAAGCAGTGCTAACAACAGCAACAATCCTGAGAGTGGACACTCTGCTTCTGCAACGATGCTGTCCTGATATCAGCGTTAACTGCAGTATGAGAGCAGTGCAGAGTGGTGACTGTTAGCCAGCCACTGGGACACACATACAGGGACTTCCATGCACGTGTGGCTGGGATGGCTACCACAATAAAGAACAGAGAAGCTGGATCTAGCAGTCTAGATCGGACCACACACACAGTTAGCATGACTTCATTGTCTGGTCAAGAGGCCATTACTATAGTAGTTTGCCGCTATATTGATGCTCTGAATGTCGCATACAGCTCCTTTAAAAAATGTCTAAGTCTGGAAGGGATTTCAATAACATTTAGAAGCAGCCATAGCTAATTACTCATTATTCATTGTTAAGTAAATTGAAATAAACTGCAATAAATTGATACTTTTCTCATTGTGGTGCTGTTTAAATGTCACACAGGCTTCTATCTTTACTTTATATGCAAATCTGCAGGCGAGAAGCACGCCCAGTTAATCTACAGCCACGACTAATCTCTAACTTGTCGTGGGGGCTGTATATTGAAGAATGGTCCTCTTGTTTAGAGGATTAGCGCAGTTCTACTCTGGATACAGAGGTCACTCACAACTGTAAAGAGCATGATGAGAGTTGCATGCAAACACATTCCCATTTCATTTGCAGGCGCGATATACAAGGGAGGATGCTTTCCTGGCTGTCCCCAGGCCCACAGAGGTGAAACGTAAATCTGTGACGTGAATCCTCTGTTAGCTAATATCTACAGCATCTGTGATTTGACCTTTACATAACTTTCATTGAGAGACTGTTCGTATTTTACGTTGTAACAAAAATAATTTATCTACATCATGGATGATGTTTGGTCACATAAAGTTTTTCTTAAGATGAATTTAAAAAAAAATCTCATTAAAAAATGACATTAAATTTCATATTGACCTGAGAAAACCAGAGAAATCTCTTTGTTACACAAATAGCCAAGTCCAGTGTGTTTGTGTTGCATTTACTGCATAATATAATGAAACACTGCTGCACTTTGTAGTCCCTCCCAAGACGAATTGTTTGGACATGTTTAGTTTTGTTCACCTTTTATAATCTAAATTCAATCTTGTGTTGCTTGACAAATCCTTTGTGAAACACAGTTGCAGACACAAAGAACAACAAATCCGGGACAGATGTTAAAAAGGGACAATGGCTACCACCACATGCACGTACACCCACAGACAGAAACACTGAGGTACCTGTGAGAAACCACCAGGACAGTAAGTGTGTGTAATTATTGCATGCTTAGTTTATTTGGACTTGTTCTCAATTTGAGGCACATCAATCTTTTCCCCGGTGAGGAACTGCCAGATGCCTCCTCTGTAGTTCTCATTTCCCAAAGCGTACAGGAAGACATTGAAGGTGGGAGAGGTTTTAGCCAGGATAGGTGCCATCTGCAGAGACAGGTGCAAGCATGACAAGGTTGTTAGTGCTTTAAAGACCTCAAGGAGTGTTGCAGATTATCACGGAAATGCACTAAAATACAGCTATCAAGCAGAACTGCTTGTTAAGCTGGTTAATTAAAGGGGAACTACGCCTATTTTCAAAATTCATACCAGAGTGCCAAAATTAAAATTCATGGTCATTGAGTATAAAGTGTGGAGCTGCTCTGTAGACACTGAATAGGGAAATATGTTCTGAGAGCACCTAGAGGAATGTTCTGAGTATATGGATACATGTTCAGTTTCAGATCTGAGACAAACACTAATTATAATAATAAAACAAATATTCTGTGGTTCCACAAAATCTGTTTCCCATTCATTATCTATGGAGCAGCTCCAGACTTTATACCAGTTGATTTACTTCTCTGGTTTCTCGCTTTGGAAAAGAATAACACATGCCCATAAGTATTGATTGAACTTTCCTACAGCATGGAAATAACATATTGGAATTCCTACTTTAGGTGGTTTTCCTTTGAACCCTTTGAAACCTGGAGTGAAATCAATTTTTTGTGGTGCTTTCAGATGCCTGTCGCAAGCATTTAAACCTTTGAACCCTGAGCAAACTGGTGCAATTTCAAATACATGGAGAAAAAAGACAACAAGGAACTTGGTAAGAAATGTTCAACATATTTAAAATTAATATTTAAATAATTAATAAATAAATAATTGTTTTTCCTTTTTTTCTTTTTATTAATTATCTTGTTTTGAATTTTTTTTCTTTTCACTATTTTTTTGCAATTTTTTAGGGTATTTTCCTCTTTCATTGCTCATTACCTTCTTCCCATGTTTTAGAAAGAACGCAAGCCAATTTGCTCAGGTTTTAAAGGATTAAATGGCAAATGGACTTGCACTTAGCGCCTTTCTGGTCTTTCCACCACTCAAAGTGCTTTTCACACTACTAGTCACAATCACCCATTCACACACACACATTCACACACTGGTGGCCAATGCTGCCATACAATATAGCCAATGGGAAAAATTTGGGGTTCAGTATCTTGCTCAAGGATACTTTGACATGTGGACTGATGATTTTCAGATTGGTAAATCTGCTGCCCCCAAGATGTGTAGAATCTTCATTATCCCATCAAAATTCACATCAAAAATCCTCACATTCTACACATGGGGACTTTTACAATATTTTACTATACATGTATGTATGTCCAAAGTGCAACAGGGTGCAGATTATATGATCTGCATTTTAAAATATTCAGATTAATATATTTGAATTCTAGTGGAAGGTTTTTGTGTGCATGTAGGTGCTGACTGTCCTTACCATCCTGAGCTTTGGTGAGACCAGGTTGGCGTTCTCCACAGCGGCGTAGAAAGCCAGGACACCATAGGGGCCCCAACAGAGCAGCATAGTTTTAAGAGGAGTGTTGGGGTTGAACTACAGAGGGTAAAGCACAGAGAGAGGCAGAGCAGGAGGAATACACATACATGATTAATTACTGATCAACCATGAAAAGTGAAAGAAACAAAAACGCCTTTTGTCATGTGGTCCAGTCACACGCCTGGGATAATGTCTGGGAGTGTCCGTGTTAAGATCACTCATGCTCAGCTAGAAAACAGAAACAGCTAGTGAGTAAAAGGGCAGTTTGCCGTAATCCAGTGGTCAAAGTAGACATTTAACCACTTAAAATGCAGGTTCGCCTCTTAAGTAGCTTTGAGGTTAGAAAAATCCTTTTATCCCACACTGTCTGACCATATTATATATTCTGTTTTAGCTTGTTTCAACTCTGCATTGAAGCTATATGATGTTAAGACAAAGTAAAAAATTCAAACTCTCAACAAAGTTTGGCTGCACAGCAGGAGTTTGTGCTGAAAACACACTCATGTGCTTCACATATTGGGCAGTGTGTGACTATACATTACATTACATAATTGCTTTGCCCTGGTGGCAAGCTTTGGTGTCTCCATTTTGCAGCCTTTGTGTGTAATGAAAGTGTCTCTGGGTCAGCTCAGATGACTGTTAATAATGGGCTTACGCAACATAAAGTGAGGCAAACTGATTTAGCCCCTGAGGAACCCCATTATTGAACTCGCCATTCACAGATACATTGTTCTTTTCAGCACACACCAGCTACTGTCCGGATTCCGGACTGAAGCACTCGGTCTTCCCCCTCAAGCAATGACCTATATATGTCAAGGCCCACGTGCTCCACATTCACTGTCTGTTTGTCACTCTGAATGAGGACCACGTGAGGAAGTTGTGTTTACAATAGAAAGAGATTCAGTAGATGTCATCATGGGGAGAGTTCCTCTGATTTCTTTCAGTGGGCAGCGGCAGAGGAAGTATTCAGATTCTTTACTGAAGTGTGAGTGCTGATACTACACTGTAAAAACAGGTCCTGCTTTGATAATGTTACTTGAATAAGTGTAAAAGTATTCAAAGTGAAAGCACCCAATGCAGAAAAAAATTCCCTTGTGTCTGTTATACTATTAAATATCATTATTTTCATGCATTTATTTAAAAGCAGGGTTCGCAGTAAGTTTAAGTATGGCTACTTGTTTAACTACTTTGTATAGGTCTGCAACTAATGATTATTTTCATTATGGACTGATCTGCTAATTATTTTCCCCATTAATTGACTGATTTTTTCATTCATAAAAATTCTGAAAAAAGTAAGAAATGCCCTCACAACAACAGAGAGACCAAAGCCTCTCCTCTACAATGTTTGTTTTGTCCAACAAATAGCACAAAATTCCAAATTATTTAAAATAAATTAAAATTATTAAAAGGAAAAGCAGCAAATCCTTTCATTTGTAAAGCCGGAACCATGAAATGTTTGTGCACGAAAAATGACTTAAATTAGCACAACAGTTACCAATTAATTTTCTGTTATCGTTTCAGCTGTACTTCTGTACACTGTTGAGCAGTTTGAGTTCTAAGAAACATCATATTTTATAAGCTCTATATATGTTTTGTATGCAAAAATCTTACTTTGTAAATTAACTAAAGCTGTTGGATAAATATAGTAAAGTGAAAAGTACAGTATTTCCCACTGAATGGTAGTGGAGTAGAAGTATTAAGTGGCACGAACAGAAAATACTATACAAAGTACAAGTAGATCAAATGTGTATTTAAGTCCAGCACCTAAGTAAATGCACTTAGTAATATTCCTGCCAATGAGTGACTTCAAAGCAGGATGAATCTTTGTATGGGTTGCATATTTGTAAGGATTTGTGCATTAGTTAACTGCCCTGTTACTCACCAGTCTGTGTCTTGGATTTCAGTCATCTCTAAATTCCTCTGCATCAAGTATGTGATTGAATTTGGGTTATGAGCAACTGACGCACAACAGAGTCAGTTTGTCTCTGTGCTGGTATGAAAAAAAAAATCAAATGACTGTGCCAACTTGAATTCAAATCTGTGTGTATCACTTTACACTTCTGACCCTATGTTGTTGGCTTTATTTTGTTTTTCAAACTTACCCTGGGGTTTCCAGTCTTCTTGAATTTCTGTGCAATGGACTGATAGGAGGACATGACAACAAACATCTGGATGGCCATGTTGAAGATAGACATGGGGATCAAGTAGGACACGTAGTTTCTGTGGAGAGAAAAATGCACAAAGGGCGGCAAAATCAATACTCACAGTAAGGGTGAGGAATGCAATCTACATTTATCTTGACTGTATTTTAAAGTGTGTTTGTGCATGTGTGTGTAACAATACCTGTCTCCCTTGCTGTAGTCCAGAGTGCAGCAGGTCCTGAGGGGCTCGTAGTCATACTCTCCCCAGCCGATGAGGGGCATGGCAGACCAGAAGGCAGTGAAGAGCCAGATAAATACAGACAGAGTGATGGCGCTGCTCCACTGCAGCTTTGTCCCTGATAAGAGCAAGTTTGAAACATTCATCATTACGATTTCACACACCTCCAACAAAGGTCACGTTACTGAAGAAACACTTTGTTTCGATGTGTTAACACCAAAGTAACTAACTGTCTAATAAGCACAGACAACAGTGTGAACTGCAAGTCAGGTGTGAGTCACCTTCTCTTCCCCTGCATCCTGTTATTAATGAGGGCTAATAATAGCACAGGGGCTGATTTTATTCCTCACTATAAAAAGAAAACATTTCCTACTCAGCACTGAAGCCTCCCAGGTCACGGTTTTAACACCATCTGCTCATCTGCTTATAGCACCTTCTTTGTTTGCTATCTTCACAGGGTATTTGTTTATTATTTTGCCTTGGCATCACTGGAGTCTGTGGCAAATTAAATACAACAGCCCACTCTTTGACCAGCTGGCCTCTTCAGAAGAGCAGGAGATCTTAAAATCAGCTGGAAACCAAGAACAAAAACCTGCTCAGTGTATGCTTGGATGTCATGTGTGTGTTTGAAACATAGAGAGTAAGAAAAGGAGCCTTTGCTCTGTTGGTGAGGGAAAATAAAATGTTTTTTTTGTTGTAACTAAAAGGTTTCATCTTACTAGTGCAGTACTGGTGGTATCTGTCCCAGGCGATGGCGGCTATGAAGTGGATGCTGGCGAGAGCTGTCACGAAACCCTGGAAACCGTGAGTCTGGCATCCCTCAGAGCCATAAGGCCAGTACCTGGAGACAGAAGGTGGAGAATTAATGAAAGTTAAGCCCACTATAGCAGGAAAAAATGCTAAAATGCTTCTCAACCAAACAGATGGAAACACTGATTAATGCAAGCAATCAATCAATTCACCTATTTCAGGCCATGAGTTTATATTTAAAACTACATAACTAATAATAATAGTACATATAATCCCTTGACTCCTGAACACTGGGAGCAGCATCTCTCATCTCGTGATTACAGCTTGAAAATCCCCCCTGCACATAATAACTATTGGCTATAGCAGAGCATTGACCGCCCCCACCTCCAACCTACAACCCTGATTATTCCTCCTTGTATTGATTATACAGCGCCATGTATATATGATTGATGATGATGATGGTAGCCAGGTATTATTCGCTCATTGTATTTCATGTGACTACATTTCGCCAGACCTCGCTATCCATTATGAAAGGAAGGACTGGTTACATCACTCACCTCAAGAAGCTGGAGAAAGCGGCGATGGTGGCGTTCATTGAGATGCCCATATCAGCCAACGCTAAGCTGAACACTAGGAAATTGCTGGGGGTCCTCAGCTCTCTCACTTTGAGGAAAGCAATGACTGTCACCGCATTTAGAAAGAAGCCCAGCAGACCTTTGGATGGAACAGAAATAAACAATCATGAAATTGAAAACGCGCGGCGATGAATGGAAATCAGTGCGCACGGCGATGCATATTGCGCCACATGCAGCACCGTGACATTTCATAAGCATGCACCATGCCTTTGTTTACATACTATATGTGAAGGTTAATTCATGAGTTTAAAGAGAAAGCAACAGACCCTGCCTCCCACATCATTATACTGCCAGTGACCGGGCTGCGTCAGGTCCTGTCATGCCCTCGTAGCCTCGTAGTGTTTTGGCTGAATTCCAACACAAAACAAAACAAAAAAAGAAACCACTCACCCTCCACCAGCAGACACGATCCCAGGGAGAACACATCAAAGTCGGAGAAGCCCTCCGGTAAAGGATAAGACGAGACCATACTGACGCCGAATTGACACAACAAAGTGCAGCTGTCACAGACTTTTCACTCCTCCCAGTCCGCTCGTTTACGATGTGCCTCAATGTGGCTGAAGGGAGCCCGCTTTTAAAGGGGCATTTCACGTGAAAAGCATGCACTTTATTATGTAAAGCTCTCCACTCTCTGTCGCCCCAATCCGTGCAGGAATGTCTTAATGAACATAACCACACAAACCGCAACCCTTAATGCGTATTTGCCCACCGCGACCAGTAAAGCCCTCAATTAGTTACACAACAAGCCTTTGTGTCTCCGCGTCCCGGTGAGGATGCAGCAGCCGCTGCTGATGTCAAAGGACGAGGCGACGCGATTGATGCAGCCCACAGCTCCGCCGTCGCTTTAAGGAGACACAACAGGTGTCTGCAGAGCTCCAGCCTCCTGCCAATCAGATCTACACTCGCAAAGCCCTCCAACCACATTTCTCCACTTACAACAACATAATAACCCCGTAATGATCAGACTTTCATGTTCTTGCCAGAAGCTAGTTTGATTTAATAAATCAAATCCAGAGACTCCAGCGTTAAAAATATACATAACATGCGGTGTCTTATTTGTATGCAACAGAAAGGTTTTAGGACTTGCAGATTTTCAATTTCATTTCAATTCATTAGAGTAACCCTGCCCATTCACTGATTGATGACACAAAGTGATTATTGTGAGACTACAGAGAATCCATGTGAGCACTGTTGATCTGTATCTTTATTAATCCTTTGTCCCATATGGCAGGACTGTGTTTTTACTAGTGGATGTGAAACATCAGCGTCAGCGTTTGTTTGTGAATGTTTTTTGTAAGGAATAAAACTTTTGCTAGACAGACTGACCTAAAAAGATTAACCCAATATGGCATCTGCCCTCAAGGACAATACAAAATTGCACTTTTGCACTGCAGATAAAACATGTGTCAACAAAGGCTTGATTCAGTTTGGAGTTCCCTGTGTGATAAGGGCTTGAATGTGGCACACAATAAAAGCCTGTGTTCCGATTTGGCTTTAGCTGATCAACAAGCATGTAAATGAAATCCAACCATCATCCCCAGGCTTCAGTGGATCCCTCATGTTTCAGTTGCAACATCATTTGCAGCTTTTCGTGCCACAGGGATAGAGGGGACACAAGCCCTGACATTGTGTGGCTCAAGTTTTCTCAGTCTCAGGATTATAAGATCAAAAGATCTTGGGAAATATAGGTTAAAATATGAGAAAAGATCTTTATCATATGGACGTACAAATGGTCAAGATCCAATATATATCTATATATATACATTTTTAACTTTAGGACACTTTACATCCTGCTAAAATCAAATTGCTCCCACTGAAAACTGATAAATCCCTGTGCCCTGGGTTGAACCCAAGATGAGTTTAAGCGTGGGGTTGTCACATTTTGCATGCTTATTCCTTCTTCTGTCAGTCCTAATTTGCCGTCTCGAAATTGGTCATACTGAAAACAGAGAGTCTTTCACAAAGTCATACTATTCCATAATAAGTAGGAACCATGTAAAGAAATGCTGACACAAGTTAAATATATACAACAGTATTTAAATGTTTGAAAGTGGCTGTGCACTGAAGCAAACCAAAGTTTATTTTGACAACTCCTGCTTTATTTTTAGCCCAGTAATGTTATTGTGTGATTAGTAAACACTTTTCTAATGTGACTCCAGTAAATCTGTCTTTATAAGAGTTTTTTTTTTGCACAGTAAGAATGACATAGCACCTCAGATAAAGTCCAGTCTTTTGGTTCACACAATGTAAAAGGGCAGCTTTATTTGCTTGGGTAAATGAGATTAACTACTTGCAGTGCGATATGGAATGTTTAAGTTTTTCAACATAAGTGAACGTGATTGCTCAACACGTTTGGAGCCTCAGCACAGACCTGCACGGTTGTAAAACCATTCATACTGAGTGACTTGACTCAAAGGGATTTTAATGAAAACAGTCGTATAGTGTAATAAATCTAAAATATAGACATACTAATGATGGGAGAAGGAAGGCTTTAATATATCAACATGTAGTACACAAGTCAGGAACTTTATTGTCTCTGTCAGTATGGTATTATCAGTATATAAGATTTATTAATCTCTATCAAACTCGTAGTTGTGTACTGAAACCTCTGACCTGGCTCTGTGGTCAAATGTGGGTCAGATGTAAAGTGGCTTCTTGCTGCCAAGTTGTTCACACACATCAAATGCCTGTGTTTCGCCATCGCCAGGGTCGGCACACTCTGTAGTGCCAGCCAAGTGTTACACTGACCTTACAACGTAATGAAATACGAGGAACCGGTGCCAAATTACTCATGTAGTATTTACCAACATTGCAAAACAAAAGCTTTACAATTTGAGGTATTTTCCTGTAGCGTGAAACTCTGAATGGGTTACTAAGTTGAAATAAAGGCCACCGTAAGTCTCTTTCATTCATAATGATTAACATGCATGCCTTACTATTGTAGACTTTTTCTTTACTCTGACAAATTGTGTTGGTTCAGGAAATACTACGTTGTTTTTTGCACATGAATAGTTTACCTGCATAATTCATGTGCAGGTACAGAAATAGGATGACAGGGGGTGCAAGTGCCAAAAGGGTTAAAAAAAAAAAAAAAAAAAAAAAAAAAATATTTCAAGGATATGTGTTTTTGGTGCTCATGGATTACTAAAAGGGCCTACTGGACACAGGCCCAGGGGTCCAAAGTGTTACCGTCCCCCCAGGCCTCTACCTGCAAGATGTCACTTACATTAATATGTACCAACAAGGAAGAGACTGAAAATGACCACAAAGTGCATGATGACAAAGACATACAAAACAACAACAAAAACAGAGGCAAACCCAAAACAAAGTCTGTGTGTCCTGGTTCTTTGTCAAAGAGGTGGTGGGGCCTTTTGCATATCTGTGCCCAGGGGCCCACTCTCTAAGAAGCCATGCATGTCTGTGACGAAAGACATTGTGGTGAAATGTTCCAGGCCCCAACAACACGGTAGTTTTATTTTCTCTTATTCTGCATGATAAAAAGTGTTTGAATATTGCTGTTTAGTTTCAGTCAAAGTCTCTGTAACTGCTTTCTAACTGTGGGCATATTAGTTGTCTTGTGATAAAAACATTAAAAGTTTCCAAATAAAAAAAAGGCAGATTAAGAAAATGTTATTTGAACATCTGCTGAGTGCAAAGGCCCCATGTTGGGAGCCACAGGCTATGATATAGGGGCCACCTTGTGGTAAAACATAGTGCTGTCCACTTACAGATTAACAGTCACGGCAGGGCTCAAATGAACAAGCTACATTTGAGGCAAAGAAAAAATCCAAACATCACAGTGGATTATGACCATTTCGGAAGTGTTTTTCTGTGATAATAAATAGGGACGTCTCTGCGCAGCCTATCGGATTCCGGGATGCAATACGCATCCAAATGAAAAGAACGCCAGTCCTTTCGCTAATCCTTGTCTATCCTTTTTATCTCGGGACTCATAGCAGTCGGATCACTATGGGACAGCGAAGCGGTGGGACAAAGCCATGCGGATGATATTCCTGTAAATGAAAGGAAAAAGCAAGTCTGTTTGACTTCAGTGGGCGCAAACTGGGCGCATGTAGGCAAAGCTGCGTATGCGTAAAAGTGGGCCAAAATGTTCCTCGTCCTGCTCCTGGGGCTCTACGTGGCCACAGGTGAGCTCCTCTCCCCAGTGAGCTCCTGCCCGTCGCAGTGCAGCTGTTTTTACCACAACCTGAGTGATGGATCAAAGGCCAGGTAAGGAGGATGTCCAAAGAAAATTATTTTATGTCAAAAAGTCACTATGATGTGCTCTGGGTTTTACGCACAGACGCATCTTTTTTAGACAGACAGGTCTCGTCCTCATATGAGGACAGCTGTTTGCATAGAGGTGAACACGTGTACAAAAGATAATTCAGGGAGTGCATGTCGGTCCAATTTTATTTAATGCAGGATTATCTCTCAAAGGCACTTTCAACCTCCCCATCTATGCGTTTTATGCGAGTTTGGATGGATTGGGAAATCTCTAATTCTTTCAGAATGATTCACCACAGAATGTTTGCTTCTTGTGAACTTACCACATATATCATCTAAAGCCCATAACCTTACTTAATTTTAATTTGTAATTTATTATTATTTTAGTTTTATGTTACATTGTAAAAATGACCTTAAATGTGTGATTTAGAGGTGAACACAAGTATGATGTCTCCCTTTCAGAAGCGTGATTTGCAACGATCCCGAGATATCCCTCGTGCCTGTCGGGTTTCCTGTTGACACGTCCAAGCTGCGGATTGAGAAGACTGCCATCCAGCAGATACCAAGCGAAGCCTTCAACTACCTCTCCAGTCTGGAATTCCTGTGGATGTCTTTCAACACGCTGTCCGCCTTGAGTCCGGACAGTTTCCGGGGACTGCTCAACCTGGAAGAGCTTCGTCTGGACGGGAATGCCCTCACCGCCTTTCCCTGGGAATGTCTCATGGATATGCCCAGTCTCAGACTTCTCGATTTGCACAACAACCAGCTCACCTCGCTGCCAGCGGAGGCCACCTCTTACATCAAGAACCTCACCTACCTGGATCTGTCCAGCAACAGTCTGCTGACGCTGCCGGAAGAGGTGCTGTCCACCTGGCTAGCGGCAAAACCTGTGCAAGGGCCAGAGAGCTCCAAAATGATACTTGGTAAGAAGATTTATGTCTGCCTTAATTATAATATACAAAATGCGCGCTAAACACTGTGCGTAAAGGAGAGTGTGAGCGACTTTCTAGCAGCAGCTGGACATAACAGTTGCTAGGCAACACATTCGATGTATGGTAGAGGATGGTAGTAGTTCATAAAAAAAAAAATCCCCATTAATATTTGAAGACTGTGTGCTTTGGAAAAAAAAAATTTAACATTTAAAGATGAAGGTAACACTTTACTTGAACGCAGCCTATTTAGCATTTATATAAACATTTAATAAATAGTTTACAATATATGATGATGTATTTGTCAACTACTTTCTGTGGACAAACACAAATGGATTCTTGTTGATATGTAAAATACAAAGTTCATTTTACATTTGCTCCTCATTCTCATATTCAGAACAGTGGACAACTGTTCCAGGGCCAGCTCTGAAGGCTGGTGCTTTGGTCAAGCACAGGAGGGTGGAAAGACAGCACAATCTGACCTTGAACACTAGACCACCACCACCATCATCATCATCATCATCATCATCATCATCACCACCGTCATTGCCATAGTCATGGTCATGATGTAGTTTATGAATTAAATGTTAATCCTCTTACAGGATTAACATCCTAACATCCACACCGGCCATCTGCAGGCTGGTCTATTACTTTGCACACAGCTGGACGCTCGTCTTCCTCCTGTAGCCTCACTTGTGCCCTCACCCTCAGGTCTCCACGACAACCCCTGGGTGTGTGACTGTCGGCTCTACGACCTGGTCCAGTTCCAGAAGTCCCCGACTCTTTCGGTGGCATTCATTGACACAAGGCTCAGGTGTTCAGCTCCAGAGAGTGTATCAGGGGTCTTGTTCAGTGATGCAGAGCTGCGGCGTTGTCAGCTCCCACGTATCCACACAGCTGTGGCACGAGTCCGGAGTGCTGTTGGGAACAATGTGCTGCTCCGCTGTGGGACCATTGGAGTCCCCATCCCAGACCTGTCGTGGCGCAAGGCGGATGGGCGACTCCTTAATGGAACAGGTGAGTCAGCAGATCTTTGAATGTCAGGGTCTTTCTCTGTGTTGTGTCTGAGATCAGATGTTTTTGTCTGCACTGTGGAGATGGTAAGGTTTCAAGTCTGACTAACAGTTGTGGCTACAACAGTGAGTTATGCAACACTGCTGATGATCATTGCAACATTGTGTAACCACCTGCTTGGCATCTCTTTGTGCATCAATGAAAGTGAATGTTTCACATCATATTTCATTTTTAATTTCATTCCTTTTGTAACCATGGTGTAATGACCATTTCTCCCCTCTCTTGCTGCCACAGTCCAGCAGGAAACCTCAAAGGAAGGAATCACCTGGTCAGTCCTCAGTGTCCCAGCTGTGTCCTATCGGGATTCAGGGAAATACATCTGCAAGGCCACTAACTACGCAGGGAACGCTGAAGCTGTCATTTCTCTCGTTGTCTCTAACTCGCCAAAACAAGAGGGGAACCAAACCAGCAACGACAAGAAAGCCAAAGTCAAGAAACCCAACCAGATGGGCAAAGCTGCCTACCAGGAGAAACTGGTAGCCAGATATGTGGTCCCAACCTCCCCCCCTTCATCCCTGCCTGCCCTGGATCCAGGCCTTCCACCTGGTCTTGGTCCTGATCCTGGACTAGCCAGTTACAGCCTGGTTGACAGAGCCACCCCTGGGCCTGCCACCTCCTCCAACCCAGATGCACTGCTGGATCTGGAGAAGACTAATCTAAGCAACCTGGCGGCCAACACGTCGTCACTGCAGCAGGACCCGGACAGGGTGGTCCGCTCTGTAAAGGTGGTGGGGGATACAGACAATACAATTTCTTTGAACTGGAGAGCCCCTAAGGCCAAGAACACAACAGCATTTAGTGTGCTGTATGCTGTGTTTGGAGAGAGGGACATGAGGAAGATCAATGTTGGGGCGGGGCAGAACCGTGTCACCATCGAGGGGCTGGTGCCCAGGACCAAGTATATTGCCTGTGTGTGTGTGAGGGGGCTGATCCCCAAGAAAGAGCAGTGTGTCATATTTTCCACCGATGAAGCAGCCAGTGCCACTGGGACCCAGCGGCTGATTAACGTGATTGTGATCACAGTGGCCTGTATCATCGCAGTCCCACTCACTGTCATCGTGTGCTGTGGGGCTCTGAAGAGACGCATTCAGAAGTACTGGGGAAAGAAATCCAAGGACATCCAAGATTCATATGTGACCTTTGAGACACTGTCGCCTGGCACAAAGGCCAAAGGGCTCGAGGGCGAGTATTTGAACAGGCTGAACCCAGAAGAGTCCAACAGGCTGCTGTCAGCCCGCTCCAGCCTGGACTCTGAGGCCACAGCTAAGATAGAGGGACAGCCTAACGAGTACTTCTGCTGACGTCACGCTCCAGCTCCGGCTCCTGCTCCACGCCATCTTCCCCGCGCTCACCCGCATCCACGTCCCAGTCCGACCCCTAATACCCATTCACATCCTCATCACCACCCCCATCCCCACGTCCACCCACATCCATATCCCCATCACTACCCGTACTCTCACCCTCAGCAACATCCTGACGTCAGTCCCCCTCCCACGTGCTCCCGAACGCCCACACCATGGGATTCCCCTCCACCTGTCCCTCCTCGCTGGATCACGCCACCAACTCCACCGCCACAGAGATCCAACTTCTATCAAAGGACTTTTGCACGCTGCACTATAATGGAAATATCAGTTTAGAGGAATATTTGACATTAATTAACTTGTTTATTTTTCCAGATATTTGTGGAATATTTCATGTTTCTTACAGATAGAGTGAAGCTCACTGGACTGTCATACACGTGTCCATGCGCTGATTGTATGGCAACATTCAAACACACTCACACTCTCATGTCCAAAAGAATGTTTTTATCACAAAGCCTGTAAGAGAAAACATGTCAAAACCTGAAAGAGCACAACAATAACAATTGTAAATTATATTTCATCTCACTTGCACTGCCCAGCGAAGAAACCTCTGCAACGTGATCTGACTTAAAGGGAACTCAACGGTCGATACTCCATTGTTTATATCATATATGTATGTGTATGATTTGTATATACTTTAATGGATGATGTACACTTACATATACAGTTAAGTCTGTGCCTCTGTATATATCTGTCATATGTTCTCAGAGAAGATATACACATAGGCATGGTTCAACACTCTGGTGTATGGAGAAAAGCTGGAGCTGGAGAGAAGTACAGAAAGGACTGAACTATGACATAATGTAAATAGAGTGGAAATGATGCAAAATGAAATGTTAAACAATTTTTATTCCCAGCAATGAGACACATACTGAAATATCTTTATGTTCCTGTTTCGTGCCACCTAGAGGCATCATTACCCAGTTAAATGTAGATCTATTCATTCTAATGATATTATTTGAATATAGTTGAATAAACTTTTATACATATCCAGGTAGTGGTACTGTGTGTTCTTATATCTCCATTTCCCTCTCACCATGTTGATCAGTTAACAAAGGGGGTTTCAGAAATGATTTGAAAAGGGTGACATGGATTTCTTTATTTTATTAATGTGGCTGGTTTGATGGTTGATCAAACTTATTTACAGGAATGAGGTCTGAATCAGCCAACACTTGACTATTCGTGTCTGTCTCAGGTGGTCTAACACTGTGATAAGTCACTCCTCATAAAAGGTTTGCAAGTTGTAATGGATTTATACATGTTATATATTACAAACAACTAATAAGAGCAACCTTAAAAAAAACCTGTGGCGGGGACTTTCAGTTTGTAGCTCTTCAATTCATCAATAAAACCCTTTGATGGACCATTTATTTTCTGGGAAATCATGCAGAGAATCTAGACCAAAATGCTGGTCTAACAACATAATCACCTGTTTAGGTACAGACTTGGTGGCTGATTAGAAACTTCACATATTTATTAATGGCTTTCCAACTGCCCATTACTAAACAGAGTGGGTAAATACCAGTCAGAGGGACTTTTCACAAACTGGCAACCCCGAAACGTGTTCTTAACAATGGCATGTAAGTGATTGATAAAGCATTTGTAAATGAATAAATCATTTACTTATGTCTCGAACACCAATTCTACGTGATTAATAAGAACAACCTTTGGGTTGCCAGATTGTGAGAAATTCCTCTAAAGGGTTTCCATCAAGACGTGTCTCTCTTTAGCTCTTTATTTGTCAGTAAGAGTCTTTCACTGAGTGGATAGTGGAGCTCTAAAGTATTTATTAATGGCTTGCCAACTGTTAAACCTCCTTTGCTCCCAAATAGGAAGGTTAGACATGACTCAGAGGGCCTTTTTTATAAACTGGCAACTCAAAAAGTTGTTCTTGTGGTCTATAGGTAATTAGTAAATTATCAGTTAGTTACAATCAGTCAACCTTTATATAGGCTGACCTTTATAGAGGTTAACCAATCAGAGAGTGGTTCCAGCTCAAACAAATAGTGGGTCAGTCCTGCTGGTCCTGTGTTAATCATGCGTGTCTCTCCCAAGAATTAGATGCCACTTGTTCAGTGCGCGGTACGTCAGGGATTAAGCTTAATAGGCTTCACTTGTCTGCCGGACTCGACATGTCTTGAAGAACGAATGTAGACCTTAACTTCAGGGATTCCCGCGGACTATGGACATAATTTGTTACCTGCTGGTCATAGCTTTGCTCAACATCCAGACGTATGAAACTTCCTCTCAATGTTTACGTGGGTGCAGCTGTGTGGAGGACCGTCATGGGAGGTAAGACCTGCTTTCATGCAGTCCGAGCTTCACGTAGATAGAGGCATTATTAACTTATGCAACTGTGTCAGTAGGTGACTGCAGATAAACTAAAGACATATGGTTGTGTGGAGAGTGTGTATTGTCTCATAAAGGTTACCTTTAGGGAGTAGACTGAGCTCTATGGTCCCGTGTTTATAAAGAATCAGCTTATACAGTGACCAAATGTCAATGTAAACTCTTTCTTTATCATAGGTCACTCATTTGTATGGAGGAGAGCGCGTTTGGGGCCATACCAGACAACCTTCCAGATGATATGACCAAAATACGCATAGAAAAATCTCACTTCACTGAAATACCCAGAGGCGCATTCTCAAAAACGCCTGCTTTGGAAAACTTGTGGTTGAACTTCAATGATATCACAGTGATAAACTCAAAGGGTCTGGAAGGTTTGGGGAACTTAACCGAGCTCCGTCTGCAAGGGAACAAGCTCCGTTCAGTACCATGGACAGCGTTCGAGGACACGCCGGCCCTAAAGATCCTGGACCTGAAGCACAACCACCTGGACGTCCTGCCGGAGCATGCGTTAAAATTTTTGCCAGGTCTGACTTACTTAGACTTATCCTTCAATCGGCTTACGGTCATATCGAAGGAGGTGTTCCAAAACTGGCCTCTGTACCAAAAACTACAGAGCACGGAGGAGCGGGAGGCGACCGCTTTCGAGCCGAACGTCGTGCTGGCGCTCCACGACAACGCGTGGCTCTGCGACTGCCGCCTGAAGGGCTTCGTGGAGTTCATCAGGTCACTGAGTCCCCCGATTATACTGATGAACTCCTACTTGACCTGCTCAGGGCCGGACTTTAAGGCGGGCAAGTTCTTCCATGAGATAGAGCTGCAGGCGTGCATGAAGCCCATCGTCACCACCCCGTCCTCCAAAGTCAGCCTGCCTCAGGGCGCAAACGTCACCCTGCGCTGCCTCGCCAAGGCCAGGCCAGACCCCGCGGTGTGGTGGACATATGGCCTGAAGATAATCAGAGGATTTCATGGTAAGTGTGATGTCCACGATGTGTCATCCGCACACCCAGAGTGATATCTTGTGGTAAATTAGATACTTAAACACAGTTTAATCGCAGACCTCATAACCCTTCCTTAAGACGAGGAGAACTAAATCTGGATATTGGCCCACTGATAATCACCACTCATTCTCTCGATCTGCACAACACCATCAGCGTTGATTAAGAGTGTTGGAGATTATAGTGTGCTGTAGCCTACCTAATGTCAGCCGTGTTGGGTAATTAAGTAAACATCTGCGTCATTAGACTTAACCTTCAGAGTGGAGTGCTTACTGCAGATCATGACTGAAAGTAACCAGTGCAGCATAAACAAACAGCAAACCGGCTGCTACTGCCACTGGTGTCCCTGTTACTATCACAACACTATCACACCATCATCACTCCTGCTGCTGACAGTCGTCTATCTAAGAAAAAGGTGTTGTTGAGTAAATGTGAGCCAAGTAAAAATACTTTTACATATACTTTATAATGATAACTGCCCAAGTAAAAGTAAAAGTAGTCTTCAAAATAATGACTAACACTAAAATCCATACTACACTATAAAGCATTTTAAAGGGTTTATAAGTTGTAGCTACTGCTTTCAAACTGGGTAATAAATTATTAATTAGAAGAAGAAGATATACTTTACTAATCCTAGAAGGGAAATTCAATTTTTTCCACACTGCTGTCATACACACAGGCCTGAAATACACACACATGCACAAACAGGACCTATACATGCATTAAAATGCAGAGATGTCTGAGCAAGGAGGCTGTTGGGGGTTTGGTGCCTCGCTCAGGGGCACCTCGGCAGTGCCCCAGAGGCTCCAGCTACAAGTCCACACTGTATATTTGGTCCGGACGGGGACTTGAGCACACGACCCTCCGGTTCCCAACCTAGGTCCCTAAGGACTAAGCTACTGCTGCCCCATTAATTCTCATATTCCAGTTATTAGCCATTGTTGAGAACAACTTTTAGGTTGCCACATAGTGAAAAAGCTTCCTTGAATACAAGTTATTTACAGGCATGTCGATAATTGATAGGGTAGTCAATAAGTAAAAGTTCTCTCACTATCTATATCCAACAGCAAAAGCTAGTCAGTCATCTGTTTTCATAAATGTCAGTAAGTCATTAATAAAAGATTTGTAAAGTAATCCATGAAGTCTGAAGTGCACATTTTGAAATATGAATAAGTTGTTAATAAATGTATTTTTTCTGGATACTCTACAGCTGTTTTCCACAAGGTCAGAGGTCAAATAATCCACAGGAGTCGCCCTCCTGACGAATTAAAGAGCTTCATGAATTATGGCAGCCCAGAATTTTTTTTATCTTATTAGTTTAACTGATCTTTATTTATTTATTTAACCAACCAGAAAAACCTCTTGAGATAAAAAAAAAAACTAATTTTCAAGAGTGTCCTTTATTTAGGTCTTTAAATTAAAAGAAATATATTTATTAACATTTAAGAAATCCATCATAGTTACAGCTGCTTACTGCTGTCTTGTTCCCAGGTCTTTTATTCCACGTGGACATGACTGATATTGTTTCACCCACACATCATCTCCTCTAAGATAATTAAATTTACATGATGACAACATTTCCAGCCTTCATTTATTAAGCATCATCACAAATGTTCCATGTAGATCAACATTAGATTAATTACATCTGTGAGGAGATGCATTTTATTGTTATGTGCATATTATGCATGGATCATGTAACTATCATCCCAAAAAGTAACATGTTGCAATGTCCTGATATTTTGAGATAATTCCCAAAGCTGTTTATAGAGCCTAAGATGTGTTCAAACACAAATGTAAAAAACAAATAAATCTAGTTTAAACCTGCAATTTTGAAAATTTAATTTGTTTGTCTTTCCTTTTTCTTATTTTATGTTAAATTGAATATTTTTCAGTTCTGGACTGTTGCGCAGACAAAACAAACACTTTGTTTATGTCACCTCAGTTTTACTTAAGTTATGATGGCTAATATTCACTGTTTTCTGATATACTGTTTTCAAACAATTATTTGAATGATTGAGAAAATAACTGGCAGATTAAATGATGATGGAAATTTATTTGCAGCCTACAATTTGTATCTATTTTAAAGCTGTTGTAGTCTTGCCACTCTTTTCTTGTACATCCCTGTTTGCATGTAGGAGTCATATCCTCCTGAGAGCCAAACTTTTGTTTGGTATGCATTTTTAATTTCTCCTAGCTATTTTGGATTAGTAGGATCTGATAAGTATAAAAAATGAAACGCTAAAGTCCCAATGTCTTCAAATGAGTACTTTGTAATAAACAGCATCTGAGCATGCTACTCTCGCTAAAATTGGTAAAGTTTGTACGGCGTGTCAAACTACAAACATTATTAATCACAAGGTTTGGAACTTTGTCTACTTTTTAGTTGGTTCGGCTGCAGACTGACTTGGCAGAGATGGCTGCCATCTTGTTTTTACATGGATTAGTATTGTGCTCGTACTACCACTAGATGGCACAAAGAAGTGTCCACAAACAAGGACAAAAGGCCTAATTTAAGCAGAATGAAGCATATGGTCCATAATATATAAAAGTAATGTCCCCATATGAAGACACAGGGTCTCAAGAGGATATTATTGTTCAGATTTTTTCCTTTAATGAACACAAGTGGCTTAATTCATTGGCTTCTTTGATTGGATTTCAAGCTGAAAAGTCACCTGAATTTGGTGAAATAATTTGTGTTCAACTTGATACGTGGAAAAATGTTGATAAAAATGTTTTTTTATTGTCTGTGCTTGCATGTCTCTTAAAATAACACTGGATATCCCTGTTTTCCTCCCAGAGTCTCAGGAGAGAGTGGATGAAGACAACTTCAGATCCGTCCTGCTGATCCCATCCCTCCACGCAGCCGACCGTGGTACCTACACCTGCACTGCTGTCAACTTCATTGGAAACTCCTCAGCCAGCGTCCTCGTGGACGTGCACTCTCCTGATGGCTCCCAGTCACCGCTCCTCCCTGGCAACCTGGCTTCACCTGCTTTTCACGATGAAAACATCTACATTGACATCCGCATCGTCAAACAGACAATACGTGGTATTATCATTGAGTGGCGTGCCGCCTTGGACCACCCATCCGAAACCTGGTTCACCATCCACTTTGGCCTCGCAGGTGCTGATAATAAAGAAAAGATCAACATTGGCCCAGGGATTCGCTCTTATTCTGTCACTGATCTGATGCCTGCAACCAAATATGAAATCTGTGTCACCCTTAAGAGCCAGGCGCCGCGTCCCGGCCAGTGCATTGTGTTTGTAACAGGAAGTGACGTCACTGAGATGGAACAGAGGGAGAAGCTGATTCATATAGTGGTGATAGTTTTAGCCATGGTGCTGGCTGTCCCTATAGGTATGTACGCCTGCACCACTGACACTAAGTTCGCCTGCCTGGAGGGTATCGTGGCGTCCTGGAAGAACCGACGGAGAGACAACAGCCCCACTGGGATGGAGCGGGAGAGGCAGGGCACCTTTGACAGCCTGCAGGCCCCCAGCGACGAGGGCCTGGTTATGAAAGATTCCAGTGAAGACAGGAAGGTGAGGAGGAGATCAGATGACAGACAGTATAAGGGCAAAGCTGACCACAGCAGACTCACAGCTGAACTATATTAAGTTACTATTTGTTGAAGCAACAAGAGAAAACATAGAACTGACCTTGTAATAGGCTGGTCGCTCTGTATCAGTATCCATATCAGAGTAGAAAAATAGATCTGACTTTGATACTCTCACAAGTACAATATTCAAAAAAATGACCGTGTTGTCTGCCTTGGTTTTAATCTCATCTCTTCCTCTGTTCTAGGCCGAGGAGTTTGTTGCAAAGATGTGAATGATGACTATCAAGAGTGTAATTCAAGGATTTGCATCACTGTTTTTTTTCTCCTGTCTGAAATGTCTCCTGTTTGTCTTGTTATGAAATGCTTAAATGTCAATTATCACACATTTTAAACTGCTGCTTTACACGAAGCCTCTGTGACTGATTCAAATGGAAGAGTGCTCACAGTTACTTCTGTTTTGTACATTTTGTAAAAATCTCTCAGCTTTAGATGCATACTTTATCTTCTGCTTTATCTTTGTGTAATTCTGTGTTAGCACTTGTAATAATATTGGGTTTTTTTGTTTATATGTGTATTTATATATATGTGTATATGTGAACAAGAAAATATCCTAAACCAGATGGTACTTGACCTTTCACTAAGCCCCACCCCTTTGTGATGGTCCGACAAGCTGTCAGAGTAAGCATTGAGCCCACACTGTAACTAACTGCACTCCCTGAAGAAATATTATCATATTTTTGTAAAAATGAAGCAGTGATTCCAGAGAGAAGCAGACAGAGGGGTCTACAGTCTGTGTTTGAAGGATATATCCAGGATGTCAAAGTGACTCAGCAGCAACAACAGGTTAAAAAGACAAAGATAGTTAGAAGCTAAAGCCAAACTATAGGCTACAGATCACAGTGTAAAAGTGAACCACACATCACTGCTGATCACCACAGAAGACAATGAATATAAAGGGAAACTTTGCTGATATTGAACCAGCTGTGTGGCATCGCAGTGTGCAGATGAATGGTGTTTGGCTTCCCCCTCATGCCGCTGCCAGCACTCGGACCGCGACCACTGGAAGGGCAGGGATCTCCACAGGAACTCGAACAACGTTCATCTGCGCACACTGCGATAACACACAGCTGGTTGAATATCAGCAAAGTTTCCCTGCTTCCCTTCACTGGTTCCTGTACAGCAGGGTCGGTCTTTGTTTCACTGTTATAATCATTACAAAGCAAAAGCAGCATGTGTATACATTCAGTAGGCTATATCTTCAGTAGCTAGCTAGCTAACCCTACACTTTTCAGGGTCTGCTTTTGTTTTTGGAACAGGAAAGAAACGTTTATCTTTTTCCAACCTCTCCACGTAACAAGTATCATTAATACACGACGTGCCCCAGGCACAACATTTAGCTCCAAATCCACAAAACCAGCCTGAAAATGAAGGAAATCTGAAACGACTGCATTAGAGTCAATGGAGCACAGCTGTGTTGTTGTCGGACCCTGGTCTGAGCCGGCCTGATGCTACGCTATGATAGGCCAGTCTGCATCCGGGGGCGGGACTTAGCAAAGGGTCAGTTATGTGAAATGATTAAGTGAGTGTGCACTCTGTCAGTAGATTTAATTAAATGAAGTAAATCTAGTATACGGTGTATTACAGATTTGGGATGATAAGTGTAAATAATTGATTACTAAATGTAATAAATAATGTAGCTACTTTAATTACTTCACCAAAGTAATGTAACCTATTATATCGTTACTTTTTGATGCTAACAACAGTTTTAAACTGGGCAATGAAGCTAACAAATGTGCGGAAATAGGCTATGACAAAAGAAGGCAGTCCTGCATGGTGAAAAGATGCAAAACAACAGAATGAATGATATATTCTACATAAAAATTTATTTATTTTTCACCAAAAAGAATATATACTGATGTAATTTTTTTGTAATCACCAACATTTTGATTAGTAACTGTAATGTAATTACATATTTTTCTCAGTAAGAAAACACATCATACATCAGTGGATTTGGATACACAATATGAAATGTTCAGTTAGAGCTCTTAAATGAAATTGTGCATTCATCTGTGTGTGTGTTCGGGATCATACCAGGTGTTCTGTGACATTTGCCCTTGGTGTAGTATTTTCTAAAGCAGCATTATGACTCACAAAATGTCACACAAAGTGATAAAACCTCAATTTCTTGTCTCTTATATGTAGTTCACAGTAACCAAGTAACACACATACACATTGGATTTGAATTATACTGATATGTTAATTAAACTTTGTATTTTATGTAAATGAAAATGCTTTGGAAAGGGATCTCTTAATGGCAAGTGTGAACAGGAAGAATGATTACTGTAAGCAAAAACTGTTCCATGTAAGCACCTATTTAGTGATTTAAATGAACAGTGTGTAAGATTTACACACTGTTCATGGAGTGGCTGCAGTGGCCAATGTGAAAATACGAATGGCCCTACCTAAAGCCACTGTTTTGTTTGTCTCTTCCCATTTCTGCCCCCTAAATCCTACACTTACTTACAACAATTGTATACCTGACCGAGCCTTTAACTACCTACCTGTTTGATCAGGTCACAGGGCAAAGCTCACTCATATTGTGTCTGAATTAATTTTATCCATAACACAAGTTTACAAACAGAAACTTGCAAGGACTGAAAATTGTCAGTGCTTGGATGTTTCGCTTTTTGTGGACAAAAGACAACCACCGAAGTGCTGAATGAAGTTGTATCTGTACACAAACTGTAACTGTAAAGTTTCATTAACATATGTTTAATCCTCCCTGCGTCACTGTACATGCACGTCACAGTTCCTTATCTCCCACTTCTGCGAACACAACACACAGCAGCCACGCGTCACACATGATCTGTGGCGACCAACCCAGACAGATGGCATGCTGGATATGCCTCGGCCAATGGCATTGTTCTTTTGACATAATACCCAAACACTGGCATCCTCTCCAACATCCCCTCCTGCCGTCACTTTATGATCAGATCACACCAGCCCCCTCCTCCATCTCCATGTGCTGCAGTCTGCTGTGATGCAAGCGCTTCATCTCTGTTGGGGCCCCGCTTCTATTGACTTAAGATCAGGGTTTAAAATGACTGGCTGAGATTGGCAGCTCTCGTTTTCTGGAGCATAGACACATCTGCTTTCTTGCTTGTTCGGACGTGTTTATATGATTTGCGGGTGGGGGATTGATGCTGCTTTTTGTTGTAATCCTCATACGCTGACTATGACACAAGACTGTGGGAATTCTGGAGCGATTTCAGCACAGATCACACATGAATTAAATCTGTATCTTATTTTTGTCCTTATGTATTCTGATGTTGCTTTAAGCTGCGTATTATCTAGACACTTAGCTATATAAAAACTGCTGATCTAACGGGCAGAAACATTCAAAGATCAGGCGTTAATACTGTTGACATAATGTTTTCTTTTATATATTTTTTATTATCCAGAAATCAAATATTTCATTTACCTTTTAAAACCTCCGTTGCTTCAAGCACATACCAGGGTTTTTGAGCCCTGTGCGTAGCTTTCTTTCATTCTAAAGCATCAATGCTCTTTGCAACTTTTAACTCTGTAATCCTCTATCAAATAGCCCAGTAATCCTGGCTGCCTCTTACATGGCATAATGCATGATCATTTGGGCTGTTCTCATATTCCCTCATTTCATTTCAGAGCATTAACAGCTTGCAACACTGAAAACTTTTCACATGTGCAACAATTTTGACCCAAAACTTGCATTTACTTCCTCCAGAATCTATGGCACATTTGTTTGTATAATTTGCATTTAGGAGGCAATTTTTACTTTGTCCAAAAAAAATAAAAAAATAATCCCCAGAGTCCGCTCTGCATCATCATAACCATATGAAATGTGCCAGCAGAGGCTGCAGAAAGTTCAGTGCCAGTCACACACATCTTGTCAGTCCAAACTAAATCAGGGCAGATGGACTTTTGGTTTTTGGCCAACCATGCAATATTGTGCAAAGATGAACAAGTTGGTCCTTGGATTAGAGAGGGTAATCTGCACATTTCATGTTTTATGTAACTTTGAAATAGTGTGCATGTTTGGTCGTGATGTCTACACAAATACCCAGTGAGTGGTTCAGTGTAACTTCATAATTGGTAGTGCTCACATTGATATTGGAGCTAAGGAGAGCAAAAGGGCTTGTATCAGGATAATATATTACATATTTTCAGAACATCTGGTGAGGTCTTACTAAAAACAACAGCAAATGTAATACTGTTGTGTAAGGCCTTCCTCATACATCTCATTCTAACTTCCATCGTATGCACATTCCTGTTGTTTTCTGTGTGTTTTATTCAGTGTTTGGACACATTGCTTTGTTCATTTTGCTCTGTTTTTTTTACATTAGTGAGTACTTGGTTACAGTGATCCCAAATCTTAGTCTTTTACCCCAGGGCTGTGGTCAAGCAGCTTCTCCTCCGTCTCCAGAAGGGGGCAGGAGAGTATATTTGCCAGCACATTAAGGAGGTGTTGGTCTTAAGCTGTAGTGGCAGCAAAGCTGTTTTCTCTCTGTGTCTTTCACAGAACCTTCAAGGCTACAGTCTAATGATCTGAGCGTGCTGGACTCAGTGTGTTGTAATCCTGGGCAGTTGTAGCTGGTTGTGACCAGATTGGCCACACTGTCCCACTGGCAGCCTGAATACATGCAGAATCAACGAAGTGATGTGAAATCTAAAATACATTTTAAAAAATATCACAGTTTATCTGCTTGTTGTCAATAATCCAACTGTGATTTCATCTAAAATTCAAATTCAGTTGCGAAAATTAACAAAGTACATTGGTCGAGTACTGTGTTTTAGTAGGCTACCATTTTTGAAGTATTTTCTTCTCTACATTTTACTGCTAAATATCACTTTAACAGCTGTAGTTACTAGTTACTTTCCAGATTAATATTTTATCACAAAGCATTTGATAATCTTACAAAAAATGATGCACTGTTACAGATTAAACTACAGAGGGGTCCAAACTTTTTTTAAATTGGGGCCAGATTTAAATAATATAAAATACCTGGGGGCCATCTGCTTCTTGCATCGTATGGGTTATTTAAAAACAACAACACATGCAAACTCGAGAAACACAACTTTTTTCTCTTTCAGTGAAACAGAATTTAACTTTCCACTACTCCTAAAAGCAGCAGCACTTCAGTGGGTAGAGCTAGAATCCCATGTACAAACACAATGTCCTTGCCGCAGTGGCCACAAGTTCAATTCCAGCCCACGGCCCTTTGCTGCATGTCATCCCCTCTCCCTTCCCTTACCATCGGCTCCTCTGCTTCTTTGATGTGGCCATGTCCGCTACTTAGCAAGAAATGTCTTTTGCTAGGTAACCTTTTCTTTGCTTGTTTACCATCGCTGCCTTGTTTACTACATTAGTACCACCTCTTGGTGCATGAGGAGGGGCTCTGTTGCTCTGACATGAATGAGTTATTGACAAGAAATGCAAAATTAATAACATCGACTTCATGAAGAGGCTCTGGCTCAGGGGCCCCCTGAGCCCTTTGGTAATACACCCTAGATTGGGGCCACTCTACATGCAGTAATGAGTACTTATATATTTGATGTTGCTGACACTCCTTTGGTTTTACCAAAATAAAGTATTTTCAAAGTGCAGTATTACTACTTTTACTTGAGCACAATGATCTTGATACTTCTTTCACCTCTGTTGAAATTACAAATGAAGTTATTTTATTGGTAGTAAAATCTTGACAGGTGTATTGACAGCTTCAGTTTTTTTTTTGACAAAAATACACCAATTGAAACAAACAAAACAACCAAATACACAACAGTAAACAAAAAGTGCAGTCCTTTCAATCAGGAAATAAACATATCGTGACTGCTGCAAAACAGGGGTCTAAACAGTGCTTTACACCTGCATGGAAGGATTAAAGGTCTTCCTAACGTGATAACTTTGGTTCCCTTCCCCCGGCTGATCTCTTTAGTCAGTTCAAGTGTCATGAAATCTCCTGTAAGGAGCTTGGTCGGATCCCAAATAAACAGTCTTGCTTGCTGGAGTTTGAATGACTTCATTCCCGACAAGGGATGTGAGGTGAGGAACTTTAAGCCACTAGGGTGTCAACAAATGGTTCAAAAGGTGGAATTTATCTGTTACACGATGACACAGAAACTGGAAATAAACATCATGAATTGGAGACATGATCTGAGTGATGGTACACCTGAAGGGATTTTTTTCCATCACATGAAAACTGAGATTTTTGATGCACAAGAAATTAAGCTGTTTCAGTGTGTTTAATCTTTCTTGAAATACACACACACACACACACACACACACACACACACACACACAGGCACACATACACACACAAAGCACTATTAATGATTAAGTTTCACAGTTCATTCTTGACTTTGGAAACATCAGCTGACAAAACAATCTCACCTCAGGGTCCGTTTAGTGTCTGATCTGGAGCTTTTGATCAGATCACATGATCGTCATCGTCTTCAGATGGATGAAGATGCTCGTTCAGAGTTTAGTTTTATTTTTCTATTTGTCTATATGGCAACATGTATGAGAAGAAGAAGAAATGTAAATCTGAATGTCTACATTTCTCTTAAAACTGGGCAGACTGGATCTGCTGATGAAGGTGGTGAAAGCTCTGGCACAGCTACTAAATGGACCTTGAGGTGAGATTGTTTTGTCGAGCACTACTAATGTTTCAGCATCCTCTTCTGCTCCAATTTCATCTTGAGCTCTGACACCAGTGCTAGTTTCTTAGTGTCCTGTCTGTTCATCACTGGCTTCTTTCTGGGTTTGGGTGCCACTGTTGCAGAGACGGTGGGTACGGCCCACTGCCTCTCCCCTGGGATGTAAGGAGGAGGTGGAGGGGGAAGAGATGGGGCACTCGGCGGCGGCGGAGGCCAGTGTCTCACAACATTGTTGACATTGTTGTTATAGTTGACATTCTCCACGATGACCTCCGGCTCTGGCTCTGGCTCTGGCTCTTCCTCCTCTACTCGGAATTTCTCTCCAGGAGTTTCTGGTGTCTTAAAGGGGTTTTTCAAGTTCCAGGGCTGCGGCTTCCGCCTCCTCCTTACTCGGCGGTTAGGGAGGATCCGGTTGGACTTTTTGTTGCGCATGAATGTTGCAGTGGAGATGATGACCGTGACTATGACCATGAGACTAATGACACCAGCAAGCATGCCTAGGATTTGCAAAGGCTTGTTTCTATTCTGCATCAAAAATGATCCCAAAGGCCCCCCACTGAGTTGGGTCTGTAAAAGAGCACAGGGAGAATTCACATCCATGGGACTCAAGTCATAATCGCTCACACAAAGATTAATGTCTAAATATTGTCCCGTGTATGTACTGTGGTACTGCATATGTTCAACGTTTGGCCAAAAATATCATGTGAGGTACAAAATACAAAACTGTAATATCCAGGGATAAATTACTGCGAACGTACTGCATTGATATTGCTTCTTTGATGTCTTGCAAAGTAAACAAGATAAAAACAACGAGTATACTTAAATTCATTGTTCCATTGATTTGTAATTTGTCAAGACAAGATCAGAGAGGTTGACTGGGAAACCCACTGCTGAGACCATCCAGCATCTGAGTATGAATACTGTGTATGGATTTGTGTGAAAAAGAAAAAAGCAGAACTAATTTGTTTACTCTAGTGATGTATGTGGTGTCCTAATGTTAGTACTAAATCAAAAACATGGGAAAATTGTGCTCCTGTACTCTTTTACAGACACAGCCTTGTTCTACAACAAAATCCTTAGAAAATGAACTGCTAGAAATTCTTGGTACTGCGGAGTAAAAACAACAGTACTTCTGTGCTGGTGATCTCAAGGCAAGCTTCATTTATGGCACAGGCCTCCTTATAATCTTTCTGATCTTGCCCTGAGATTGAACACGGGACTTTTTCACAGAGTTCCAGTATATGACAGTCGAAATGAAGATTGTCACTGAAATGGCGAAGGTGACAACGGTCAAACAAATCCCAAACACAGCCCCCGGACGTTTCCTTAGGCCCAGGAAGTATGAGACAAATCTGGATTTGATCTGAAAACAAATTGCAATTGTGTAAGATACTTATTTTTATGACTACAGTTTTTTAATTGCTACTGAAGCAAACAACTGGTGAACCTGATAGTCTGGGCTGTGATCAGAAAAGCTGCACCTCCACATACAAATCGATTAGAAGTTTCAACACTGGATCATTCCCTTGCATTACAAATCGATGATAGACAGCCCAGTTGCTAGAATGAATGCTGGCATTGTATGTTTCTTCAAACTACTGATATGTTACATTTGTACATTTTTATGTAGCAGATATGTTGAAAATGTATGTTTAGTTATGTTTCAACAACAGTGTTGATAGGTTTAGGCACAAAAACCACTTGGTTATGGTTAGGAAAATATCATGTTTTGGCTGAAAATACCCGGTTTTAGTGGCACAATCACCATGGGAACAGTGATGCCTCTGTAAAAAAACAACCAATTTTGTTGTATTTTGGTCTTGAACAGTGGTCTGCAGCTTGGAGGCATCTCACCTAGCTATCACACCATCCGCCATCCCCTCTACTTCCCAATGACAAACCCGGACTCACTCCGAAGTCATCGAAATCTGATGCTTGGGCAGTGACTTGTGGCGTCAGACACTGATGAAAAAACCCATCCTTTAATGTATGCATGATACGAGCCAGTTGCTGTTATAGTACAAAGGTGCTCAGCGGGGTCTGGGTGAAACGTGGCTTGACAAGAACAATAATTAAGGCAGTGAAAGTCCATTTAGATCAGGCGGGAGGGATGGTGGATGGATCCAACAAACACCAACCTACCCCCCAGTAAGTGGTGTTTGTATCCCGTAGGATTATAAAGCCAAACCCTGCTGTTTTTTCCTAAATCCAACCATGTGTTTTTGTTGCCTAAGCCCAACCACCTGCTGTGTTGTACCAATGTAGTGCGAGACTGTATGTAAACTGTAAATTTCCTGTAAAAATGGAAGTGTATTTTGAAAGAAGACGCATGTAACAGGAAGAACTTGACACAGCATCCCGGAACATCAACAACCAACACACCCAGGGTACCTTTCATGTCATATCTGGATGTGGAAAGTCCATGATCATGCATTGATATTTGACGAGGTCAGAGTGAGAATGTGTTGCAAATCACTTTAGAAATGACATAATACATATGAAACATACAAATGGAATGAATCTGTGGTTTGCAGAAACGTACAAAGCCGTTATTTTCTTCTGACGATCGGGCTGTCATAGAAAAAGGAAACTGGAATATGAAGTGAATCAGCAACTTTGCACACTCTTATTTTTTCATGTATGAAAGTGTATAGCTTTTGAAAAATCAGCGTAATTCATCATAGATAGATATTATCCCTCATATAGGTTTGACTGACATCTAACTTTCTTGCAACTTACAGCCTCAGTGATGTCGATCTTGACGACCGCAGTGGTGCTGAAGGACGGCTGGCCTCGGTCGCGGGCCTGCACTACCAGCGACCAGGTGCAGTCTCTCTTCTTGGTGATGTTCTGAATGATGGCCATTGATTTGATGTAGGACTTGAGCATGATCTCCCCCGTGTCAGCGTTAATGTCAAAGATGTTGTTGTCTGGCTCGGCTTTCATGATGGCATACTCGATGACATTGTTGGGCACTTCCGCATCGTCATCTACAGCCTGTGTAGATTTAGACAATCATCATAGTATTAACTTCATTCTTGAGCTTTACTTCATCCAACATGATAAATCACAAAAGGCAAATACCTCTATTTTCACTGGTGCTCCAATCACCATAGTTGTCTCAAGGAAGTTATCATTGAATTCAGGTGGGTGGTCGTTCAGGTCCAACACAGTCACAAAGACCTCAGCGAGGCTGTATTTTCCTTCTGCGTCCTCTGCCTTCACATAGAAGTTATACTTGGACCTCACCTCTGCGTCCAGGCTCGCCCACGGCTGGGTGTAGATGATCCCAGATGCAGGCTGGATCAGGAACCTGTAAATATGAGGGGACTTTTTTAAATTTAATTCAGATTTACCATATGCATGCAACTGACAGCCATGATTTTCCTTGAACAGTCTAGAACATTTAACATTGATTTAATACTGATTATGATTGTGTGTACACTTTCATTATCTTCTTTCTGAGAATGTATAAACCTTTCTCTTGGATGGCATCATTTTGTGAAAGCTCATGACTGGTTCTTTTAAAATCAGATATATGTACAGTACAGGCCAAAAGTTTGGACACACCTTCTCATTCAATGCATTTTCTTTATTTTCATGACTATTTACATTGTAGATTCTCACTGAAGGCATCAAAACTATGAATGAACACATGTGGAATTATGTACTTAACAAAAAAAGGTGAAATAACTGAAAACATGTTTTATATTCTAGTTTCTTCAAAATAGCCACCCTTTGCTGTGATTACTGCTTTGCACACTCTTGGCATTCTCTCGATGAGCTTCAAGAGGTAGTTACCTGAAATGGTTTTCCAACAGTCTTGAAGGAGTTCCCAGAGGTGTTTAGCACTTGTTGGCCCCTTTGCCTTCACTCTGCGGTCCAGCTCACCCCAAACCATCTCGATTGGGTTCAGGTCCAGTGACTGTGGAGGCCAGGTCATCTGCCGCAGCACTCCATCACTCTCCTTCTTGGTCAAATAGCCCTTACACAGCCTGGAGGTGTGTTTGGGGTCATTGTCCTGTTGAAAAATAAATGATCGTCCAACTAAACACAAACCGGATGGGATGGCATGTCGCTGCAGGATGCTGTGGTAGCCATGCTGGTTCAGTGTGCCTTCAATTTTGAATAAATCCCCAACAGTGTCACCAGCAAAACACCCCCACACCATCACACCTCCTCCTCCATGCTTCACAGTGGGAACCAGGCATGTGGAATCCATCTGTTCACCTTTTCTGCGTCTCACAAAGACACGGCGGTTGGAACCAAGGATCTCAAATTTGGACTCATCAGACCAAAGCACAGATTTCCACTGGTCTAATGTCCATTCCTTGTGTTTCTTGGCCCAAACAAATCTCTTCTGCTTGTTGCCTCTCCTTAGCAGTGGTTTCCTAGCAGCTATTTGACCATGAAGGCCTGATTGGCGCAGTCTCCTCTTAACAGTTGTTCTAGAGATGGGTCTGCTGCTAGAACTCTGTGTGGCATTCATCTGGTCTCTGATCTGAGCTGCTGTTAACTTGCGATTTCTGAGGCTGGTGACTCGGATGAACTTATCCTCAGAAGCAGAGGTGACTCTTGGTCTTCCTTTCCTGGGTCGGTCCTCATGTGTGCCAGTTTCGTTGTAGCGCTTGATGGTTTTTGCGACTCCACTTGGGGACACATTTAAAGTTTTTGCAATTTTCCGGACTGACTGACCTTCATTTCTTAAAGGAATGATGGCCACTCGTTTTTCTTTAGTTAGCTGATTGGTTCTTGCCATAATATGAATTTTAACAGTTGTCCAATAGGGCTGTCGGCTGTGTATTAACCTGACTTCTGCACAACACAACTGATGGTCCCAACCCCATTGATAAAGCAAGAAATTCCACTAATTAACCCTGATAAGGCACACCTGTGAAGTGGAAACCATTTCAGGTGACTACCTCTTGAAGCTCATGGAGAGAATACCAAGAGTGTGCAAAGCAGTAATCACAGCAAAGGGTGGCTATTTTGAAGAAACTAGAATATAAAACATGTTTTCAGTTATTTCACCTTTTTTTGTTAAGTACATAACTCCACATGTGTTCATTCATAGTTTTGATGCCTTCAGTGAGAATCTACAATGTAAATAGTCATGAAAATAAAGAAAACGCATTGAATGAGAAGGTGTGTCCACACTTTTGGCCTGTACTGTATATGCTCAGCCAAGTTGCCAGAGGAGAATGTTGGCATACGGTACATTTGCACATCTCGTATGTATCAAAGTGACCTAGTACAGATTACATGTAAACAAACTGAGGTTGATATACAGAGGAGGAGGGGCTAGTGGATGGCGTGACACCTAGGAAACAGCTGCCAGGCAGTAGACCGGAGCACCACTGTTTAGTTCTTACAAAAGTGGATGCTTTTTGACAACAGTTTTGGACTTTTCGAGCTGGGATTGTGGCAATTAAAGCAGTTATTGAAAGCCAAACTATGATCTTTTTCTAACCATTATTAAGTAGCCTAGTTTATGTTCCTAAACCTTCATGAAACTGTGGCAACATGACTGGGTATTTTTTAAAGGACATGTCAGGACATTTCCAATCAAGATTGTAGTGAGAAAAGTGGGTATTTTAAGCCAAATCATGATCTTTCCTTAAGCCTAACCAAATATTTTTGTTATACTCGGCGTTGTCACAACATCGAATTGAAAACTGAGACTTAAAGAAATGTAGATTTTCAACATATCCACTAAAAACAAAAAATACAAATGTAGAGAAATGTACAATGCCAACATTTATTTTGGTAATTGTGTTGATATGTTGCACTTGAAACTTTAAAGCAATAGGTCACTTTGATACCACTGCCAGTGAACTTAAGTCATGAAAGACTGAACTGTAAACATCCAGAGCAAGAGTGGAATTAGACTGTTTCACTGACTGACTTGTTTAGTTACCCTGCAGTGACTTTGCAGTCAGAAGCAAAGAACAGTCTATTTTCTCCTCCAATCCTATTACAGGATTAACAAAGACAGAGGGCAAGCAGACAAAGATCACGACTGCACGGTCCTGTGTGTGCTGAAGTATCCAACAAGATATTGTAGAAAAGTCTGACATCTAAAAAGCCTAATTTTAAAGATGCAGTACTGTGACATGTAGTCATTTATTGCTTCATAACAAATTTCAAAGATATGTTTTGGAATAATCTGAAAGGAAACATGCACAAAGATAAAAGTATTCCAAATCTCTCTCTTCTGCTTATTTTGGAAATCCTTTTCCTGGATGCCAAGTGACATCACATATCTCCTCTAATTCGTTGCTACAGAGCTCAAAATCTGTACGGAGAAGTCTAAAAATACTCTACTACTACCTACATTTCAGTGTATACAACAACTGTTTTTTTAGCCCTGAGAGATTAAACATGCCCCTACTATCACACACCTGTCTGCTTAAAAAAAAACAACCTTAACTTTACCGAAAATGCAAGTGACCTTTAGGGCTGACTCTATAGTGATGTGAAAGGAAAGGTAAGCTGTGGGAATACTGTGTGTTATTAAGCGAGAACAGTGACCACTGAGCTTTTTTCTCAGAGGTAAGACTTCTAACTGGAAATCTAATAAAAATCGAGTTGAGAGAAAATGCCAGCAAATCCTCTGAGGGACTACAGCGCTTAGGTGCAATAAACAGGACCAAGTCTAAAATGAAAAACAAGTCGGCTGTCATATTTCTGTGCAGCTTTCAGGCAGATGTGTTTTTGCTGGATTTTTTTTTTTTACTTTTGAGACGAGCTGACGTCAGCTTGTGACACATTTCTTTATGTGGTCATCTGCCCCAGGCACACTACTGCAAGTGTTTACATTACATACACTGCTACATGTAGCTACACGCTAACATCAGGGAGACGTGTAATCTTGGTTACCAATGTAGTTATTTTCTCCCTAATTTTGGGTCATATTCCTGCTGCAAGATTTGATCTAGAAGCTTTTATTGGTGACTTTTCATGGTAGAAAGTCAGGCATCACCATTCCTGCAGCTGTGATAATGGCTGGGGGCTTAAAGAGACAGGCGCTAAATTGGAGCATCTCAGACTGAGGATGAATACAGGTATATTTAGACAGACAGTATGAGAAAAATAAAGTGATTTTTGAACACTAAAGCGTGTACACATGTTCTAGTAGCCCCTGAAAATGAGCATAATATGTCCCCTTTAAGATAAGTGCCTCAGTGTGTGGTCTGTTTATCTACTGCTGCCAAATACTCAGGATATCAGCTGCTCATAAGGTTGTAGAAGTGTTTGTGATTTCTTTTTTTTTCACACAGTCACAAGTTCATATTGACAAAATCACTACACCATGACTAATGAATAGACTCGGTGGCAGAAAAACATAGTCTGGTGCTTTGGAAACATTGTTTGGTTGTTTTATACAGTAATAGATTTATTTTTTCTTAAGCAGAATAAAAGAAATCTCACCAGTGGGTTTTAAATATGTCTTATTTTGACAGTGAGATAATGCTGTTTAAGCTTTAATAAGCATGTCAGTCATTATTGATGAAATAATAGTGTTACGAGGATGAGAGGAATTTGAAAAAAGCCCACATCTTTAACTTTAAGTTACACACTTATACTCACAAGTCAGCCCCTGATCCGTAGATGGAGTACTTCACATCACCCCAAGGTCCTGAGTCTGGGTCTGTTGCCTGTGCATAAACAGAAAAGACAGGGAACAGAGAAAAAATATGAGTTTGGTTGTGGCACTTACATGAATCAGGTCAGTTCAACATAACTTTCACAGCAGTTGAGTTAATCTGCAATTCCTCTTTAGGAGTTTTATATGCAGCTCAGTGAGCTAAGGCATATCCCACTTATGTTCAACGTCATACCGCCGATAAACCCCATAATATTGATGTTAGATTTGTTTGTTCCTCTTTACCAAAGCAGAAGAGAGAGCTGTCTGCTGCCATGGGCTCAGTAAACTGAATGAATCCGTGCAGGATTGGAAGGTGATGTTGCAGGGGTCAGCTATAAAAAGACTGTTGTGTTTTTTTCTGTTTGCTTGATGTCATAGGAACATCATCATGGGCATCGGCTAATCTGTCTGTCTGTCGCTGCAGGGATGCCTGTTCGCTGTCTCCGTGTGTCCAAGGTCACTTGTTGGCTGTTCTTTTATCTGATTGAAATTGCCTGGGATCAAGGAAATGAGCCTCTGTGGTGTTCACGCAAGAGCAGGATTTATCAGCGAGCCCCCCTGTTGCTTTGAGCCTCTGCAGGGCTGATAGGAACTGACAAGGGCGAAGGATGAGACAGTGAAAAAAAGTCTCTATCTATCTATCTATCTATCTATCTATCTATCTATCTATCTATCTATCTAAAAGTGCTCATGTTATTTCTGCACATATTTTTGAGCTGCAGCTGCATGTGCTACTGAGCATTAGGAAAAAAAAAATCAGGGAATTTGGTGTTACACAACAAAATGAAAGTGATAGCCATCTGGCAGCTTACCTCGCCTAGCTTTTATCTACATGTTTTCACATATTATCCCAACCCCCACCGCTCAAAAAGTCTACATTTAGGGAATTAATGGCCCTGCTTGGGCATTTTCAAAAAAATCAGCATTCCTCTTTAGCTCACAGTGACGTACATTGGTGTTGGCATGTATTTTTAGACAGGGTGAAGACTCTCTCTCTCACCGTGACTGACACCACATTGGAGCCGCCGGGTGAGTTTTCTGGGATTCTGGCGATGTAGTAGTCTGAGGAGAATTTGGGAGCGTTGTCGTTGGTGTCCAGGAGGTGAATGACAATGTCAGCTGTGGCACTGAATCTCTCGGGTGTATCGATCTCAACTGCGAGCAGCTAATGAGGAGAAAGATTAGGAATAAATAAATGGCAAAAGGGCAATTATGCAACAGATGCAGGTGATATACCACTGCCAGTGAGCTGGTCTACTGTGGTGCAATGGGTTAACCTTGTATGTGAGAAAGTGGTGTTTCTCATAGTCCATGGCAGCAGAGTCCTCGACTAAGATTGTGACCTGGGCCTCATTGAGTACAGTCTGAGGGACGACTCTCAGCATCCTTCCAGGTCCAATCAGTCTCAGATTGAATTTAGCATTCGCACCCTGCAGGAGCACAACACACATCATCACATTAGTCAGAAATGTCATACATGAGTGAACCTATTTTTAGTAATCTGCATTTGTTACAAAGCTATCACATACAGTATAATCCATGCAGTATAGTCCATTCAATCAATATAAAAGCTTTGTATCTTTTCATTATTACAGTAATGTATGAGAATCAATAGGATATCAGTGGCAGCAGTAATATTTGTGGTGAAACGTAATATCGCTGGACAAACAGAGCTCGGCCTGATGTTGTAACAGTATTATCACATTTGGTGAACATCAGCCATTTGGACGAGGCTCATACAAGGAGCTGGAAACACAAAGAGACTTGCATAAGCTGACAAATGGCATAACTCGGGGGCACCTTTTAATTTGTGTTGGCTTAATTTCAAATTTGTGCAATTTTTAAAAGGATTGTCTGTGATAATGGCGGGCTTAGTTATTTAACAGAAATAAAGGCAGACACCAGACTGAGCACAACACTGTGGTGCAGTGAATGTTGATTTAATCAGTTTCTTATTAGATAACAATGTAATTTGGTTGGAAAATGAGTGTTATTACATAATTGCTGTATCATAATCACTGTAGTGTTCCTCTCCCTGGTTAAGTGATGCAGCTTTCAGTGGCAATAATACTGTATTAGTGCTAAAAGATGATTCCTGCTCAGTAAAACATCACTGGAAAAAGCTATTGTTTGTGATTTGTTGAGTCATTTTCAGGCCCAGTCAACAGAATAAAATGTTGGCACTGTACGTCTCTGGAAGCTGAGGATATGTTGCATTTGTATGTTTCATATGAATCACACTATATCAGTATTTTTAACGTGACGTAGTTCTGACTGAATGTTAAAGAGCTGAGTTTCTCATCAGCAGTGGGGGGTACTGTGGTCGTAATGACAGTTAGGCAAGATAGCAGCTGACAAGCATCAGACCCCTGTTCGAGACCAGCGACATTTCCAACCTTGTTTGTGGACAAAACCAGATATCTTTAATGAGACGTTGGGACACTTCCAGCTGTGTTTATTGTGACAATACTGGGTGTTTTTGACGAGACACTGGGACATTTCCAGCCATGTTTGTGCCACCAAAACAGATATTTTAAGCCAAAAGCTGATCTTTTCCTAACCCTTAACCAAGTGTTTTTTGTGCCTAAACTTAACAACATGATAACCACAGTGTTTTTTTTTATGTCAGATTTGTTTTTAGGCTTCTGATAGCCCTAACCCAAAAACAATGGGTCAAAACTTTAAGAGACACAATTAGGGGTGTATAAATTTAAATTTTCTTGCAGTACATTTGCATGTCTCATACATATAAAAGTGACGTAGTACAGATTACATGTAAGATGAGTTTGACATATGGAGGAGGAGGAGCTGATGGATGGCATGACACCACCAGTGCTTTGATGCTTTTTAAAGACAGTTTTGGACTTTTCCAGCTGAGATTGTGGCGATAAAAGCGGGTATTGTGAGCCAAACTATGATTTTTTTTCTAACGATAACCAAGTATTTTCTATGCCTAAACCTTGGTGAAAATGTAGCAACAACACCGTATATTTTTTCAGGGCATGTCGGGACATTTCCAACCAAGATCGTGGCAACAAAAGCAGGTATTTTAAGCCAAATTGTGATCTTCCCCTAATAACTTGTTTAGTTATCCTGCAGTGACTTTGCAGTCAGAAGCAAAGACCAGTCTGGACTTTTCCAGCTGAGATTGTGGTGATAAAATCAGGTATTGGAAGCCGAACTATGATCTTTTCCTAACCATAACCAAGAGTTTTTTGTGCCTATACTTGTGCGAGACTGTAGCAACATAATTATATATTTCTTAAGGACATGTGCAGACATTTCCACTAAGATTGTGCCGACAAAAGTGGGTATTTTAAGCCAAACCATTATCTTTCTCTAACAATAACCAAATATTTTATGTGCCTAAACCTATACCACACGTTATCCACATCATTGTCAGAATGTTAAATTGAAAATTGAAACTTAAAAAAATGTAAATTTTCAACATATCCACTTATATAAAATGTACAAATACAACATATTCATGGTTTGCAGAAACAATACCTACATTTATTCTTGCCACTGGATTGCATTTTCATACTAATGAGTCAGTGTATGAGAAAATAAAATATGGATGACAGTAGTGTTCTCCCCACCTGATCAGAGTCATTGACAGTGATTTTCAGCCCACGGAGTATCTCTCCCTCAGGTGGATGCTCATACATGGTCAACTCAAACATGCTCTGTGGGCCGTTCTCCCCGTAGAAAGTAGGTGGATTATTGTTGAGGTCCACCACACGGATCACAACCGTGGTCACACTATAGTCCATGGGTCTGCCTTCAGGACTTACTTCTGATGCCTGGACACACAGGGGGTTAAAGATTATACAGGTCATATTTATTACTCGACCAGTGAGATGTTTAATCTACCAGTTTCACAGATCAGTTGTACTTTGTGAACCGCAACTTACCCTGACTTTAATGTTGAAGATTTCTCTCTTCAGAAACATGGGGAGACTCAGCAGGGTGATACAACCACTTGATCTATTGATGCTAAAAACACCATCGTCGCCTGGAGAGACAATTAACAGACAGACCTACTCTATGAGCACTTTTGCTTTATTTCAGAATCACTCCAGCTTTGTTTTAATGAAATGCTTACCATCGTCAAAAGAATAACGGATTGGATTTGGGCTTCCTACATCGCCATCTTTGGCTACAACAGTGAATATTTCAGATCCCTGGGGAAAAAAATCAGCAGAAAGGTTTGCAGTTAAATCAATGATGACACAAAGCTGATAGTTAGTGTTGGTAGTTTAAGATAACCAGGCTGTAAAGCCAGCTTACTTTAAAATATACTGCAAATTATTAACAATTCTTTAATAACTGACACTCTCTGACAACTCTAATATGTCACTCTTACCATGATGTAACTCTGTATTTGGTTGCATCACATTTTCAAAAGGAAGCAGGACATTTACGTAATTGAGTTACCCTGTGACTGGTGCACTGCTATTTAAAACATACCACAACAATCTATTCTGCACCTGATCTTCACTGAGTCTTCAGATGTACATTCAGATGTCATGATCCTAATTATTCCCTTTCAGATGAAAGTCAGAACGTGCAATCTCTCTCCTATGACTGCAGTGACATTTAGTGACTGAGGAGATAATGTGGCTTTCACCTGCTGTGAGAAAAGCTATGAAGAAGGCACCGTGGGTATTAGTGTAAAATGTCAGCAATTAAAGCTGTGTGACATGAGACGATGCTGCCTTGTGGTGTGGGTTCTTATTTATACCATGAATACAGATAAATTGCATTCACTATGTTAGTTTACTAAGCCTCGCTGTACTGTGATAATTCAACGTGATGTTCATTGAAGATGTAAATCTGTTGCAATACAAAAGAAACGTGGCAGAAAAGAACTTTACAAAATGTTTAAGACTTGTGCTCTGAATATTTGTTATACAGACTCTCATGTCAGTCAAAGCAGAACGTCAATAAACTGTGTTTTCATACTCACTGGCACAGAGACTTCATAAACGTAGCCAAAATACGGTGTCCCAATAAAAGATGGCGGAGTGTCCTGTGCATCGATCACATTGATCGTCAGGGTAGCAGAGGATGACATAAACTGCTCCTTGCCATTAAAGTTGCCACCACCATCCTGAAACGAAAGAAATGTGCAGTTTAAAGCTACATTTTAAGAAAGACATAATAAACATAAACATTTTTCTCTATAGTTATGCCTATGTTTTGAAATGTTTATCACTATTTATGTTAACATGACATATATCAGTTATGTTACGTCAGGGTTGACTTTTGGTTTCACACAGGAGTCAGAACACAGGCAGTCTCCTGGATGAAAGTCCTGTGCTTGCTTGACAAATCCCTGACCACCTACCTACATGGAATTTGTTGCCCATTAAACTGCATCACCTGACTTCCTCCTTTGCTCCCAACATAATTACTATGACCATGAGAGGTTGACATGTTTGTATGTATGCTCCAGATAAATGCCAGTTAATGAGCTGATAATGGCCTTCTGTACATACTGGTAGATGTAGCCAGCCTGTCCTCATTCCAAAATCGTCAAATACCGCTGCTATGTCAGTGACTTTGGCATCAGACACCTGACGCCAAAATCCATCTTTTGCAGCAGTATGATACACATCTGGGCAGTGTTAGCATGCAGCCAGGCGTAACCCTCGCATTGTTATGATTCGTTGCCAGTCAGCCGGACAGCACCTGTTGAGGCACTATGATGCACTGCTGGATGGTGTCAAGTTGAAACACTGCTGGTAACAATGTAATATAAGAAGCAAGACAGTCTCTGTAGTGCGGGTGGAAGGGGTGGTAGGTTGGTCAAACAAATCCCCAGACTTTCACCCAAGAGCCTGGTGTTTGCTTCCTAAATGCCAGACGAAGTGCTTTTGTTGCTTAAATCCAATCATGTGCTTATGCATGTTGATGTCCTGGTGTTGGTAGCCCCTCTTGGAACATCACCAGCAGAAGCAGAAGGATACCTAACATGTAATATGTACTGTAGACATGAAAGGCCACTGACAAAGCAGCGATATGTTAGGACTTCGGATGAGAATGTGTTGATGTAACTGACCCCTTCTAATTTATATGCATGAGAAACATTTACATTGTTACATTCAGGGTTTCTTACCCACATGTATTTTGTGTTTCCTACCAAACATGTTGAATATATTTCCATCCTCATAAAACACCTGCATTGTTTAATCCATTAATGCTAGCCATGTTTTGCCGCAAAACACCACTAACATTCTTAACATTCAGAAACTCCACAGGGTTCTTTAAAAATGAAAATGAAAGTACACTGTTGCAGAAACATTAGATCAGTTTTGGTGCACCCATTACCTTTGCAATGACAGTGACAAAGTGTGTCTTTGTTTTCTCATAGTCCAACATTTCTCCAGACTTGATACGAAGGACACCACTGTGCCTGTCTACGGCAAACAAAGTAGACTGAGGATTCTGTGACAGAGAACAGGACAAAAGCAGGATTTTAAAAGCACACACTGAGACACATTTTAGGTCACACGAGTAAAAGCCTGTCTCTGAAACCTCTAAACCCCATTTACAACCACTCACGTGAGATATCATGAAAAGTGGTCAGATGGCAGCATTGAAACACTCAGTAGCCACTTGAATTAGGCCACATCATGTATAAAGTATATCTCTTTGTCCATCTGGATGTAAAGAGCCCATATGTTCAAGGACAGGGCAGGCAGGTGAAAGCTGCTGTGCCCAGATGTGCGGTGCCTCGCTCGTCACTGTCACTCCGGGCCAGCTGTTCTTTGTTCCTAATAGTCCAAAGTGCAAACTAACATTCCCTGCCACCCCCTGCCAAAGCAGCCCTCTAAGCCTCCAATACCTAACACAAATGTAATTGTGATTTAATCCCCTGCCCCATAACTACACCAACATACTTAGGCACATGCACACATACACACATGAGCATCAGAAAATCCAACTGATGTTAACCTCATTATAAGTACATTTATACATTAGTTCCATGACAAGCAGATTAACATTCGAACTGGCCAGTTTCAGCTAGTATGTCATATGAGGAGCACTTTTTCTTAAAGGTTTTATCTGTGCTTTTTTACTCAGCTTATTTATACTCAGATAGTGTGGTATGAGAGTGGACCGAGTGATACCTGGAGGTAGTATGTGACTGAACCCCCTGAGCCTGTGTCTCTGTCCACTGCCTCCACTCTGTAGATGCTGCTGCCAGACTCAGTCGTCTAAAACACAGAAAATAATTCAGGTCACAACATAAATGATGCAACACACATTTATCTTAATATTTTTATAGTAATGTACTGTCCTTTTCATTTTATCTGGAGAGAATGACACTTTTAGCTTAACTTACTTCCAGTACATCAATGATTGCTGGCATGTTTTGGAAGTCAGGTTTTTCATCATTTGCATCCATTACAAATATTGTGACTCTTTCCACAACCTAAAAAGAACAAAAATAAAAGCATGCTCAAGTTCATCTCAGCTTGATTCATTATAAGAATGGCACTAAATGGCTTAATCACAGATGTTGATACCTTGCTTTGCCCATCTGTGATGCTGACAAGAACGTCTATAGAGTCTTGTTTCTGTGAAGAAGAAAACAAGTCGATATGAAGTCATACACGATGAAAAAGATAACATCTTAGTTTTTTAGTTATAGGAATTACATATAAAGTCAATTTAATCATTTATTAAGCCTATGTTAAGTTTACCTCTCTGTCCAGCTTTTCCACCAGTGTGATGTTTCCAGATTTGGGGTCGACCCTGAAGTATTCTTTGGACCCTGGATCAAACGAAAGGCCGTAACTCACCTCCTGGCCCTCAGGGTCTGTGCCATTGAGAGAGTAGATCTGTGTACCTGAAAGAAGACATCATAATTTAGTCAAATTAGCCTTAACAGTTGACTTTATGGACAAAGAAGTTAATTCCTTCTCCATTTCTAACTTTAAGAATAAAATATTGATCAAAACTGGCAAAATTAATCAGCAATCCAGGAACGTAGTTAAACAATTGTTTGAGCAAAACTGTGGTGGAGCAAACTGAGACACAGCAGCCAGCAGTATAATAAGTACCCTGACTGACAGAAGTTGTAGAGGGACAGCTGCACCACATTCACAGCCAGCAAACTGTCCCTCACATCAACAGGTGGCACCGGCAGATGAGCATGTTAGCGTGTAACACCACACAACATCTGTTCATCTATCAAAGACTGTTTAACATCTTGGACTCTGAGGTACTGGCAACAAAAAGATGCCATTTTGTTGATCAGTTGTTCCACCTGACTATTAGCTGTTCATGCTAAGCGTCAAGTATGTCAGAGGTTGATCTCACCGACAGCCGTGTCCTCCGAGAGGCTGAACAGTGCCAGGTTTCCGTTGTAGCTATAGGGTCCATTGTCGTAGAAATAGGGGGCGAAGTCTGCTTGTGCTGAGGACAGTGACATAAAATCACCATTAAAAGCTTGAGAAGTTTAAAGTAATTCACCTCAAAGTGAGACCAGGAATGAAAAATAATATAATGCTCCTTTTACAAAGTTGAATTCACAACTTAAAACACATAATCAATTTAGTTCACTCAGGAGTTTTGCTGCAACAGTACTTGGTCTGATATAAACAGTAGCATGGTGGCTAATGTTTGCTAATGCTAGTAAACTTAAGCGTAATATTACTTAATTGTTCTTTGTCATCTGTGATCACCATGGTCAATTATCATCAATGCTGCGTTGAAATGGAGTCGTGTTTACCATGAGAAGAGTCCATATGAACAGAGCCCCTGGTTGTGGTACACACAACATCGAAAGTGAGCATTTTCGGAGAGCTCTGAGTTCACAACTTCATGTAAAAGACTCACAAGGTCGCAAACACAAGCTCACTAGTCCAATTTGAACGCAGTAAATATTACATGGTCTTGCTTTTAATACTGGAGTGACATAAACCAAGGCGATTGTAGGCCTACTGAGCTCTCGCCCCCCTGCTTTCTCAACCCCTTTGAGTGGGATTACAGGTGAGTTACGTCAACCTCCTAATATACCTTTTCTATACATAGACTTAAGATCTCTGGTGGTAGAAATAATGCTGTTTTTATTTGAAATAGCAGAATCATCTAAATATTGAAACTAAATTCATATACCAAACAAATCAATCAGTATGATAGTCATACAGAGTGTAAACACATATGCACATACAAGAGCATCTAACCAGGTTAGAAAAGAAAATGACTGAACTGAAAACAGAATATAACTCAATTATAAATGGAGTAAAAAACAACTCAGAGGCTGTCAAATATATCTGAACAGTTTTCCCAGTCTGATCACAGCAACACGCCAACCGTAAGCAGAGAATAAAGAAGTGTAACTTACCAAAGCAGGCGTGCACAAACACAAAAAGCAGTGGCAAATGTAATATCTTTACATTCTTCATCCTACAGAGTGAAGTCATGAAACCGCACCATGAAGATGGCTCCGTCGAGAGTCCTGTACATGAGATGCAGCGCTCAAGGTGTCTGAGTGCGACTGGAGGAGGCTAAAGGCAGATGCTCACATGCTAATCCAATGACACATCTTAAGAGTCACTCCTGGGCCCCCTCTCTCCAGCTGGGCTTCTTCACCCACCACTCTGCAGGAGATGGCTCAGCCTGCAGGGCAAACAACACAAGGATACAGCACAAGTTTGCAGATGATGGACAGGTATATATTTATTTTATTTTATTTTTTTGCTTTTTTGTTTGCTTTTGATGTAGATCAGCAGCTTTCATTTACCACAAATAATAAATAAACATGTCATTTTCTGCAAGTTTTTGGGGAGAAAATAGAATAATATCATGAAAGAGATTCTTGTATTTGAAGATAAGAAAGCTAAACCATCAGAATATTATGATTTTACAAATGTCAAATTATACTTGTCATTTAGTGTTTCAGTGCTAATCTACAGGCTGATACAGATGTTGTATTTGCAATAACTACTGCTATCAAATTAATAACCTTGCCATCAAGATGTAAACTTTGATAAATTTCTGTTTGAATAATCACAATGTTAGCTATTGTAATATTTTGCTTGCGTTAACATTGGGACTATGATATTGTATTTACAACCACACAGTCTATACTGAATTGTAGCTGATGGTAAAAGTGTTTAAGTCCTTTATGATGACAATTCTGACACTTCTGCAATCTGCCCTTGAATTCTAATAATTTTACATAAAGTGCCATGACTGGCTCAGTCATGGTCAAAGTAAAGGGATTATTGTGATACAGAATCTATATTGTTATAATGGTCAGTGTTTTCCCCATACTGTGTACAGTACCATCTGCTTTGCACACCACAGCCATCTGCTGCATTACGAGACAAAGAAAAAAAAAACCCTCCATGATTTAGTCAATAATAGAATAATCAGAAAATTAAGATGATGTAGATGACAGCAGTGAATGATCTGATGAGATTATACTCTGTGTTTGATTCCTGTCCTGTCTGGTGGAAACCAGGAAGTGAATGTGTGCCAGTTTGGGACTTACACTGATAAATTAGAAACAGATGATAATGACAAACAAGACAGGATAATGTTTTTACCATATCATTTTGTTTTACATGTAAATTATTATTTATTTTTTTTTTGGTTTGCATCTTTCTGTGTTCATTCATTTCTTTATTTATTGCCATGTTTACACCGTGTGTTGATTCTCTAATTAAAAATCCCTCTGATTAGCTATCTGTCTTTCTGGGACTTTTTGAGTGGTATTTTGGGCACTGAAGCTGGCTAATAATCCTCTTGTTTGATAATCTAAAACCACCCAGAGGTAAAGTCTGGTAAACAAATGTTGTATAATAACCACTGGTCCTCCATTTGATTTGGATCATCTTTCTACAAACACTGTATGTCTTCAATTTAATGAGTAAGCTTTTGCACTAAAAAGTGGGTGAATGCAACTCAAATGACTCATTTCTTGTCTTATTAATTCTTAAAAGTGTAAATTAAATCCAAATTTGTTTTTTACTACCTACTGTGTTTTAAATTGTCATCGATCTGCAACTGAAAAAACAAAACAAAAAAGGCATTCATAATTAAAAATAAATAAATGAAATCATTACAGTTGTAATATTTTGCAGTTCCCATTTAAAAAATAATAACTCAACAGAACAACTGCACACACCATTAAAACATGTTGCGTGCAGGAGGATTTACACACATGCATAAACCTTTTACAGTCCATTCTCATATACTGAAATTAAATCTACTTTATAATCTGAGTGGTGATGGTAGAATGTACAGCGTGTAGCATGACCTCAGCGAGTGCTTGGTGCACCAACTGTGCATTTAGAAAAACTGTTAGTTGGCACCGAGTCACTGAGAGGACAAGACACACATATACAGATTTAAAAACCATAAATATTCATTTTTGTGAACATTATGGTTTAAGATCGGTGACCTTTGGCAGCAGACAACTGCCCTGCATGTACAGTGAGAGCTTATAGATTGGAAACATAATGTGACCAGACAGAAAGTATTCAAAGACACATCAATTATATTTGTATGCCATTTGAAGCAGAAGATCCATAACTTTCATACAAAGATCGCATAATATACTCATTACCAAAGATCACCTGTCAGGTTACTTTTGTATGGTGGTGGTCAAGGCCATGGCTTCAGGTTTAATTCTCATGGTCCTGGCAGATGGCAGGCCTAAAGATTAACCCACTGTGCTCTAATCTCTCCTCATCTTGTAATGCACAGAGCCTGTCTGTGGTCACACAGACTCCATAAGTCATAAATGTAAAGCACAATTAGCACACACAATGCAGCTGCAAGCAGGGTCGACTGGTTGCTTTGTTACATACAGTGGGATATTATGCGAGTTTTTTTTTTTTTTTTTTAAACAAAGTTTTTTTTTAATCATCTAAAGCAGGAACCAGGCAGGAGAGCCACACACTGTATTTAAAGCTCCCAGTAGTTTTAGCTGTGCAGTGTTTCAGTCTAACAGAGATCTTCATCAGACATTTTAAATCACTATCACAAAGCAGAATAAGCAATTTTAAGATACGTTCATCTCTCACATTGCACAATTTACTGGAAGCTTTCAATACAATGTGCGGATCTCCTGTCTGGCTATTGCTTTAGTCTGATTTTTTGATCCAGCATCGCTTAAAAGTTTTTTGGATGTGAAGCCCCCTCCACTCTGCTTTTTTGTTTTTCTATTTGTCACAGTGACCTTTGTTTAAAATGTTTAAACCCTCAGATGTGTGCCAGTGTGCATATTCCTCAATAAAAAACCTGCCACTGAAGCTTAAATGTGCAAGTGTCTTTGCAAAGATCACTGCAAAAAAAAAAAAAAAAAAAAATCATACGGCTAAAAGCTCACTGCTCATCTGTAGTCATCGTCTTAGTTTCTAATCCCGTGCCTTCAATCACAGCGGCACATGGTGACCTCTTTGTTCCTGTTGGGGATGGAGCTGTGAGGCTGCCCATGGGGAAATTTCTCTTAACTTCAGTTTGCTGCTGCGAGGATTATTGTCATCAATAGACAAAGCCAAACCTGTGTCTAAACAGCCTCAGTGTGTCCTAAGATTCAAGTATCAGTATAGATAAGCCACTGACGCCAATGTACAGTGTCTCAAATCATGACCAGATGGACCACTTCAGCCACTTTAGAAAGGAACTGACCCTCAGAAGGTTTAACATCCATGTAAAAACAAGAAATCAAGAGTGGCAGAGGATGAAATATAGTAAATATTACTATGCTTCTTTGCAACATCATAAGCCAAGGTCATCTTTCTCTGGGACCAAAACACATCAAGGAAGCTACATCATCAAATGGCCAAACCTCTCAGGTCAGCAGGCACCAGTCTGCCGATTGTTCCCAGAATTAAGTCCAAACATGGTGAACCTGCTTTTAGCTACTGTGCTGTAAATACCTGGGATGCACTTCTAGGAGATCTTTCTCAAACAATTGCTTTTAATCTGCACTCTAAATGTTATTATTTCATCTACAAAAATACTTCTATCTTGATTATTTTTTCATTATATTTTTCTTTTAGTTTACTTTTTTATTACCCAACTTCCTTTTTATTGTTTATTTCAGTGACTTATACCTAAAGCACTGCATTAACTTGTTTATGAAATGTGCTGCATAAATAAAGCAACCTTTCCTTGCCTTTTGTGCAAGAAGTACTGTGATTTAAGTTTAGGACAGGAAAAATAATGCATGCCCTCATCAATGGGTGGGGTGTGGCATAAACAAGCCTTCAGTAAATATGAGCTAGTACATTATAAAGGCTATAAAAATAAATACTAGAGTAACTGAAATCAAATGAATATATGAAGAGGTTATTTTATCCTAATAAAATGATAGTTAAAGCATTTAAATGTGTTTGATCTTCAAATGACATGAAATTATTACATGAGCAAATGTCTCCCTCCTGATTACATTAGTGGCTGAAGTTCAGAGCACGTTTTTGGCTGTTCATCAAGAAGCGATGTTGACAGAGAGAGCTGCAAGTAGAATTAGTTTGGCTGCAGTCCTGTTCATGTCTCTGAAACGTGAGGGTCCATAAAAATGTCAAATATACGTGTACACTACCAAATGACAGCTTATCACTGCAGCATTTTGGATTACAAGAATCCCACATACACCAAAAATACACCCATAATATATATGAAAAGTATCATTATATCAATAATCAAATATATATATCAGTCCAAGTAAGCAATGTTTTCTCCAGCAGTTTGTATAGTGTACAGCGTATTTGTTTCTGGAGTGGTAAAAAAAACAAAATACTGCTTTGGTAAATCCTTGTTTTTTCCTTGCTTTTTCACAAATACAAAATTCTGGAGCTTACTTGAAAAAAAAAGAGAGATTTACCGGGTCAAAAATAGAAAGGGAGAGTTTGAATAATTTGTAACCTTCAGATCTTGTGTCACTACAGGATCACTCTGTCTGTCAGAGCACCTGTTGTCAAGATACCCAATTCAGCTTTACCATTTTGGATTATTATTGATAATCTCTAGTGCGGTTTGCCAAGGGCAGAGGTTCGCTTTTAGTCCTGGTCCACTCTAAAACTAGGTCATTCCTTTAATCTCTCCATGTAGAGTATACTGTAGGTTAACAGCCTTTTCATTTTATAAACCTCACAGAGTGCTAGAGTGAATACAGAGTCATGAATCAGGCAAAATCCGAAAAGATATGACACACTATGTCAGCAGGAGTCATTATGGACTTTAGAGACCAGTAACAGGAGTCTTTTGAGGCAGTAAGATAGTTTATATAAGTCCTGTTTTGTGGGTGTTTCTAAGATTTCAACAAAACCTTAAGGCCTTGGCAGAGGTTGTCACTGTACTTCAGACGCATGCATGACACATATGTGCAAATAAAGCATAAACACACAAAATCTGTGAATACAAAAGTAAATAAAAGTGATGTTAAAATGTGTGTATGAAACCAAATACGTGATTCATAGAAATGTACAAACTGAAAACCCTCCATGCATGTGTTTAATATGTTTAAATGCAATGCAGCTGCAAAATCAACTTGCGTCAAATATTATTTTTGTAGGTGAGTTTGACATGATGCTGACGTACATCATGTTGGACCCTGATGCTGAAACTAAGCTGGTGCTCTCAGGCAGTCAGTCCCTCTATGATCTGCTGCTCCAGGACTCTGCATTCTTTTACACTGCTGCCTCCAAGTGGTGAAAAACTGCTGGTGGACAATAAATGTCAAGACATTCTCACTTTTTCACTTAACAGTACAGTATGTTTGGAAATATTTAGAAATAGATTTGTTTATCTGGAGTTGTGGATCGGGTGAAGGCGGTGAATGGAGCTCAGCCACCATTCATCTTATGATTTACATCTTTTGTGACAAAAAGTCTTAATTGAAAAGGACCTAAAAGGACTGGCATTTGTACATGATTAAAAACACTGGACCACATTACAGATGTTTCTTCAAGATCAACACGTTCTTTTCAATTGTTGGTGTGTTGTGTACATTGTAAAGCACAACATAACCATCTTTCAGATTCTAATACTGTGGGAGGTAATGGTGATGATCATAAGTGTAGATTTCGGGGGTGGGGGAATGCAGGAGATATGTCTCCCTCAATATTTAGAACAAGTGCATTTGTTCCCCTGCCATAAAAATATAAAAGTAGCAGAGGACTTATATTTCAACAATTTAAAGACATTTAAAACATTAATTTGTTGCAGTAACCCCCCATTTCAATCCCCATATTTCATACGTGTCCCCAAGACACATGAAACAGGAGGTCTGGGGGTCGTCAAGCAGAAAGTTTTGAGCATCAAACACTTAGTTTCCTGCATTATAGTCGATTTTTATGCACTAATTTGTGCCTTTTCTGCATTTTGTCACAATAGAAGTCCTCTGCTACTTTCATGGTTTTATTGGGGGATGGGGGATGGACAAATGCATATGTTGTAAATACTGAGGGGGAGGTGTCAAGTCAAGTCAAGTCAAGTCAAATTCATTTATAGAGCACTTTTAAAAACAAATGCTGATGAAAGTGCTTCAGAAAGAGATTAAAAAAACACAGTAATGATCGAATGAAAACAGTCATAAATAGGAAAATGTAAGTAAAATGAACAAGAGCATACAATATTTTGACAAAATCCTAACACAAAAACAGCATTGCACAAAAAACAAAATAAAATACAGAAAATACATGTGTTAAGCAGTGTGCTCAGGCATATCATCATAAAGATAATTAAAAGGCTAAAGCAAAGTGATGGGGGTTTTAAATGTGTCAGTGGAGGGGTAAGATCTGACTGTAAGTAGGAAACTGTTCCACAGTTTAGGACCAACAACTGAAAATGCTCGATCATCTCTAGTTTTTAACTGGGTGCGTGTAATGAAGAGCAGTGATTGGTCACCAGATGTAACCATGTTCCTTGCCCCCACAAAATCTACACCTACACCTGTCCCTTTATACACAAAACCTACGCCATTGGTGGTGATTATGGTGATTACAGAAAATGGCTGCTGCTTTACCTGCAGTGGATGTTGTTTACCTCCTCCAACAGACACTAATGAGCCCAACAGAACTCCACCTGATAGCAGTGATAACTCTAAACACTTAGCACCTCCCCAAACATGAGGGGGAGGAAGGTGACTGGATCTGCAGTTCTACCTGTAAGGTCTCATTCCCCAAGGGTGGTAATGTGTTAGCACTTGCACTGTAACACCCAAAGTATTGTAAAGCAATGAATATATGCATTTTATTTTGTTCAGTGCAGATAATCAGTTCAAGTGGCTTGTAACATAATTACAGGGGTGCAATCAGGAGACAATTTTAAGTAATGGCAAGCTGCATTAAGTGCATTTCTTTCTTTCTTTCATTTTATTTCTGAGTATTTAACACAAAAACAGACATAAGAAATACAGGACACAGAATAAAAAGACCACCACAAAAACAAAATAAAAAAAAAAATAGTAGTAATGATAGCACACTGCCAGCTAAAGGAAAGAAAATACAATTACACGCCAGTTCGTACTATATCCACAGGAAGGTTGAGGCTGAAAGATGGCATCCCTAGGGTTAAGACCATCGGGTGTTAGGGAAGGTCAAAAGGAGACCTACTGTCTTGGGAGATCAATAAATGCATTTCTTTCTGATTCAAAGAAAAGCAGTAGTTTTTATTCTTATTAATTCCTTATTTGTCTAATGGAGGTATTTATATGCATTTATATCTTACCCAAACTAGCCTATGTCAAGATTAAGATGGACAAAAAATTGTACAGTAGCATACAGGTTCACATGTTTTGCTCTGAAGATGCATTAAGATATCTGACAGATTAAGTGACTTCATGCTTCATGCATGGAGTGAATAGACACTGCATTATGTTATGGCAGTAATTCCTAAATTAACATGGTAGCCTATTGGCTGTGAAACAAAATTTCAGGTTACAACACTGAAAACATGCAATTAAATGTGATTTAAATGACTATGCACACAGTGGCATAGCCTCTGTGCTCTGGGGGCACTTCCTCAAACATGGGGGTGGGGGTGTCTACACACATAATTGCAGGGTATTTGGGGATCACGTGACCTCGCCAGCACAGGATGTCCCACGCAGGGAGAGCGGTGACTTGAAGCGTGGCCACAGTCGGCTCGCGCGCGGTGGTATCCAGCACATGGTGAAAGTTGGAGATAAAGTTTTAAAGCGACACAAGCGTAATTTAGAGGCGAATTAGCGCTTCTGTCAGTCGGGCTTGACGGGGAGAATTTTGCAATTACTTCTGTGGCTCCGAGTTTATTTTTCTTGACTCAATATTTAATCAAAAAAGGAGCAAACAAACAAACATAATTCTCCTTCGCTGGTGCCGATGTTTCTGCAAGACATCCGTGCGTCCGCGCTGCCTCTCATTCATCCAGCAGAGGAGAGGAGCCCGCGTCCGAGGATACAATGAAGCAGTGTGTCCTTGTCCGACACAATGCAGCAAGATGCTACAGAGGGGACGATACTGTTTCTCACAAGATCAGGATCGTTTTTGCTCGATTGCAGAGAGAGATCAGCTAAAGGTTTGTGCATTCCGCTACTCCAATATCTCCGCATCTTATTTTTCTCTGGAAGGAAATGACTCAAAGCTGGAAAAAAGAAAAGAAAAACAACATACAGAGCCACCGGCACACGGTGCAGCTTGTAAACATCCTGCTGCCATGCGCGGAAAAAAACGCGTTACATGATGAATAATGATAAAGTCCACCTTAAATCCAACTGTCAAAGCATACATGTGTGATGTGTGTTTTCAGGCATGATGCAGGTATATAAATGGTGATTGTGCAAACATGGAGGCTGCCATGGAGTCCACTATAATCAATAATTCTTTCTGTTACAGATGTGAGTTGCTCATTTAACCATTTTTACAGATTTGATTTTGAATATGTGGAAGCATCATCCCCTCATCTAATGGCATCAGGGATTAATAGTATGCAGAAGTATTCATTAGTCTGTATTCATTCTGGTTCAGTGGTGGGGGTTTGGAAAATGCTTCTGAATTGAAAGCCCCCTCCCCCCTAATGACTGCTATAGGATTAAATAGGCACCACTCACACAGCACACAGAGGGGGTAATTTTCTTTATATCTAAATGACATCCAAACTAAAATCAATCAGTTATAATTGATACACAGCACCTACCCATAGTGTAACGTTTCTCAGCATTTGGCTGTAACAGTTAATTGTTTACACTAACACCCCTGGATGAACAGCAAAGCATTCAGTGGGAATTCAGCTTTCAGCGTCTCCATGATATGCTGCTTCAAGGCTTTGAAGGCAGCCATTAATGTAATTTGTAGTGAGATGATAAACAGAGTGATGTGTGTTTCTGCTTGAGCAGATAGTCAGATTTGCCAAACGCTCCACTGACTCTTGAATATGTAAAAGTGCTCAGCTCAAGTGCTTCAGCCTGACAGTTTGACGGCTATGGCGTATTAAGCCCAGATAATTGGGTGATATTTACTTACAGAGCACACAATCACTCCGCAACGCCTTGAAAACTGTGTCTTTTTCCCTTAATGATATGCTTTGTAGAAATTATTCACTGGCTTGACAGGTCCAAATGGCATGTGTGTGTGTGGTGTGTGTGTGGTGTGTGTGTGTGTGTGTGCGTAGTTTACATTTCTTTTTCAGTCACTAAAAAATGTGTGTGGACAATTTATTCAGAATTAAGAGATTTGTCGTACTGAATCATTTCAAATGATGTCAAAATAGTTAATTTGTTCAGAAGTCTTTCAGAGGAGCGGTGTGACACCAGCGTGGGCGGGTATGGCTACATCAATGTGGGTTGTGTCCCCAACGGATTTGCCGTTTATGAGTTCAGGTTGCAGAGTAACACAATACTCCCAAAGGCAGGGAACGATACCACTACGGCTAATGACACGAGATTTGTATGTGATACAAGCTCTAATTTGCACTGCAGCAAATATGAGATCATCAGTATCATTAAATCACTTCACTGTCGACATGTCGAGGCTTGTGTCTTATTGGTTACTCATCAATGTGGGCAAACTTCCCAGAAATGATATCTAAGAATTCACCTGTAAGATGGTGCACCTCAGCAACACATTCACTTATGTAAAGTGGCTTCATGTTAAAGAGAATGTTGCCTTGTTTCCTGACTCAGTGCCATGTGGAAGTGTTCCAATGTGTTTGCTGGCATTGAAAACCAGCCTCTGTTTACAGTAACTACCTCCCTCTCATCCGTTTTCTGCTTTATCACCAACCCCAGTGCGGCAAGACTGTCTTTTTTTTGGGGCTTCTCAGAAATGAGGCAAACAGGTTTTAAAAAAGCAATGTGTTGTACAAACTGCTGAACATTCCTCAGGTTTCAGATCAATGCGTCTGTTGTTTCAATATAAAAAAAAAACGTCTGGCTGAGTTTAGATCTGTCTCTCAGAGCTAAAATGGGAGATTCTTTTTATAACGGTTTATGTCTTCAGTGTAATCCAGGACAGAGATTTTTTCTTACCTCTTATTAATCTTTATACTGTATTTGCCCAGGAAACATCAAGAGTTTACACAGGAATTATGATACATGTGTATTTTTTTACTGTCTAAACCAATGTACTTTTCTTATTGCAGATTGAAGCTTTAGCCTCTGCATGACAAGCTATGACCGACACACACACTAAACTCTAGACGTCCAGTTACGAAGCCAGGACTCAAGAATGAAGACCAAATATGCGATTGTCTTCATCTGTATCGTGGCCCTGGTCATCATCGAAAAGGAAAGCAACATCCTATCTAGGTAAAAGAATAAAGAGCAGTCTGTAATCTGCAATCTGGAAATGCACGTGTGCCAGCCCTGTATCTTGCCTCCTGTCTGTTTCAATATCTATATTGCACTTGAAAATGCTAAGAAGGTCAGTGGTCACCTCTGAAACAAAGGACATAGCCATTGATTTTAGAGGGCTGCACCCTTTGTTTATCACTGCAGAGCCAATACAATCTGTTACAAATTACATGTACCTTGGCATCGTCATTGACCACAAGTGTAATTAGATTCTGTGGACTGACCTGATTGGCACTCAGACACAGCAGAGAATGTACTTTCTAAAGAAATGGCTATTTTTAAATGTCCACAGCAAAATGCTCTGAATATTTAGCTTTTATTGAAAGTGTCCCATCCTTCTCCATTGCCTTTTGGTTTGCCAGTGCTACTGAGGCACAGAAAAAGACTAAAAGGCTGTAACTATGACCAGCAAACTGTCAGATATTACATAACCGAGTATGGAAAGCATCTACAGAGACAGAGCGATGAAGAAAGCATACAGCATTGTGGGTGACCAGAGACGTCTCCTTGACTTTGTCTGGGTGACAATATTGCCCTCCTCTGTTCAAAAGTTCAAAATAGATCCAAGTTTTTATTTGTTCCACATGCCATTAAAGGAATACTTCCCTGATTTTCAACCAGCTTTGTATTAAAACAATATGGATAGTATGTGTAGATTAACTGTGGTAAGCTTCACTCCATCTAACCAGTGCCTAGATATCCCTCCTCCTGCCCCCCTGGCGAAACTCCGCCTGACAACATATTTCACATCATCATCTATAGCTGGTGCTCAGGCAGTTGTTCGAAGTACAGGATGTACTTTTGTGGTTTCATTTTGTCGCCACCCATGCTGCCACTGCAGACACAAAGAGTATAGAAGCAGATCAAGAGACAGACAGCTGACTATAAATCAAGATTATGTTACTGCACTGCCTATGACTCTCCTAAAATGTTGTCAGAAACATATTTTAATGCCCAGATAAGCTGTAATAGTGAGAGTTTGTGAACAGAAAGTGGGCGCCATACTGCCTCCTGCACAGTGAAAATGGAGGCCGAAAGTACTGAGATCAAATGGTAAAACTAAGCAGTGCTGATTGAATATAAACCAAGATTGCGTTAGTACATTGCTTATTTCTTGCCTCAAATGTTTTCAGAAGCATGTTTTAGCTCAGCGTTTAATTGTAATTCGAGATCGTTTGCTACCAGCCAGCCGCCATTTTCTTAAACACATGAGATTGCATTATGTTACCCACCAGCAGGAGTGTTTATTGGTCTTGTACGGTGGAGGGTATTCTGGTAAATGCAGGTTTTCTACCTCTTGAGGAAAAGCGAATGCCACAGCCCTCTTTTTCTGTTTCTTTAGTCATGTAACCCCAATTTCAAAAGTATCTGTGTCTTTCTACTGCATAGGTGGCCTAGTTTTATGTGAGGAACCTCTTTATATCTGTGAAAAACTTCTTAAAGTTTTTATCAGATAATGCACCAGCGTCATATGCCCTATTGTTTCCTCACTTTTGTAGTTACAAAAGATGTCCAGCTGGTCTGGTCCATCCCCCCTACCTGGTATATGTATGGGTATATGAATGCCTTTGTCATTAAGCTGCAAACCAATTTTCCTACAGGGACAAATAAAAGTATCTATCTACCTGGTCTGCAGAGACTGGGTGGAAGATTATTACAGTGGCTAGAGGCCACCTTGTAACTTTAAAGCAATAACATTTTGGAAAATACACTTATTCACTTTCTTGCAGGGAGTTAGATGGGAAGATTGATACCACTCTCATATGATACAGCCAGCAGCTGAAAACAGGGGGAAGCAGCCACCCTGGCTTTGTCCATAGGTTATAAGCTCAGGCTACTAGTACCTCTATAGCTCACTGTTTAACATGTTAATCTCCCTTGTTTAATCAGTACAAAGGCTATGCTAACTGCTTCCCTGTTCCCAGTCTTGATGCTAATAGCTGGCTGTAGCTTCATATATAAAAGTGTAAGATAAATGTAAATGTAAGACCTATGTTAGATGTCTATATTGCTCCACCTGTCGATATTCTTTAATCAAGCCTCTGTATCTCATCAGGGTCTCTGATAAGCTGATCCAGAGGCAGATTCCACAGCAGACCCCACAGACTCCACTGGATTACAGCAACACAACACAAAATGGCTCCCTGATGATGCTCAAAATGCTGCTCTCCAAACTCACCGGCACAAAAGGGAATTACTCAAGTCTATCCGAGGAGCAAGAAGAGGACGAACTAGATGATTTAGGCACGTACAGCTTCAGCGGTGGCCGTAAGCACATATTACTCTTAGCCACCACACGAACGGGTTCCTCATTTGTGGGGGAATTTTTCAACCAGCACGGGGAGAACATGTTTTATCTATTTGAGCCTCTGTGGCATGTCGAGCGCATGCTGACCATTGCATCCGAGGCAAACAACGGAACAGTGTTGGCAGGAATCTACCGGGATGTACTCCAAGGGCTTTTCCTGTGTGATTTCTCTCCCCTTGAGAAGTTCATCTCCCCGCCTCCTCAGGAACACGTTACCCCAGCTCTTTTTCGCAGAGAATCTAGTTTATCGCTTTGTGAAGAATCTGTCTGCAGTCCAGTAATCAAAGATGTTTTTGAAAGGTATTGTAGATTCTCTAGATACTCACTATTATTGATCAGACTTAAAATGTTAGTTGAGTCTGAAAAAGGAAATAAAATTGAATTGTGATACAGTTGCATAGAGGGAGGGCAGGAGTTTTTCTCCTTTAATGATGATATCTTCAGTGTTCACACATAAATTGAGAAGTCTCTCTCACATCTCTCCATAGTTGCTGAATTAATCTTATATTGCCTAATAATTCAAATAAGCCTCTGCAAAGTAGAGACATGTAAATGTGTCTTGTAATGTTAAGCAGAATAAGATGCTTGAGGACATCACCTTAATATTTAGGAAAGTGTGATGGGCATTTCTCTCCATTTCTAACATTTTACAGACTGAAAATAAGTAGTTGCAGTCATAAATTCTAAGCTTGGTAATTTAGTGTTGCTTACCAAAATGCCCCTGGGAGTTATAGTTGACTTTACCCCTTAAAGGGACAGTTCACCCCAAAACCAAAAATGCATATTTACCCTCTTACCTGTAGTGCTATTTATGAATCTACATTGTTTTGCTCTGAGTTGCAAAGTTTTGGAGATATCGGCCATAGAGATGTCTGCCTTCTCTCAAATATAATGGAAGTAGATGGCACTCAGCTTGTGGTGTTCAAAGTGGCAAAAAAATCCACAGACCTTGTTGTGAGCAGTTTAATTTAGGAATTATATTCTTTCTTCCGAAGTACTGCTAGCTCACCTAGCACCACTGCGCTGGCTAACATTACAGTCAGCTGAAAGGAACATCCATTAATGTTTACATCTCACACTGCCATGAGCACAAGCCTCTTGTCCATGAGTAGATCTGTGCTCCCTCTGTACTGTGTTTTTTTGTTTTTTTGTTTTTTTTAGCACCATCTAGGTCCATTAAAGTCAAGAAAAGGCAGACATCTCCATGGTCGATATCACCAACATTAAGCAACTCACACCAAAACAGTTTAAAATGATAAATAGCACCACAGGTAGGAGAAAGAATATGTATTTTTGATTTTGTGGTGAACTGTCCCTTTAAATTATTATTATCCACAGTCTTATGACTTGTAATGATGACACAACCAAAAGAGTCTTGTGTCCTTACATGCTTTGTGAGTGCACAAACCGTTCCAGCTGATCCAAAGCACCCCAAGACATCTTAAATAATTTCCTCCTCTCTGCAACTCTATGAAAGATATTTAATCATACACACACTATACCACTCTTGTTTTAGGTATCACTGTAAGACTCGTCGCTGTGGGCCGCTGAACTTGACCCTCGCATCTGAATCCTGCCTTTCCAAGCAACACCATGCCATTAAGACAGTCCGTGTGCGCCAGCTGGACACATTGCAGCCTTTGGTGCAGGATCCTCGTCTGGATGTGAGAGTGATCCAGCTAGTCCGAGATCCACGTGCCATTTTAGCATCCCGCATGGTGGCTTTCTCTTCGAAGTACCAGACATGGAAGGCCTGGGCGCAGGACGGCCAGGTGCCTGAAGATGACGAGGAGGTGAAGAGGCTCAAAGGCAACTGCGACCAGATTAGGATGTCTGCAGAGGTGGGACTGAGCCGACCTCGTTGGCTAAGGAGCCGCTACATGTTGGTGCGTTATGAGGATATTGCCCGCTACCCCATGCAGAAGGCAGAGGAAATGTACAGGTTCACGGGGATACCATTTAGCCCCCAAGCTAGGGAGTGGATTCTGAGGAACACCCAGACCACACAGGGGGCTAGCGGGATTTACTCCACCCAGAAGAACTCATCAGAGCAGGCAGAGAAATGGAGATTTAGCATTCCCTTCACACTGGCTCAGGTAGTGCAGAGAGTGTGTGGACCCACCATGAAGCTGTTTGGGTACAGGTTTGTGGATGATGAAAAGACACTGATGAATAAGTCCATCAGTTTGCTTGAAGAGAAACTGTTTCATTAATCGAGACGTCATAAATGTAGCTGTGAATCTGCAAAGCGCTGCACACGATGGGTTGAAGCCAGGAGAAGCCATTATTGCACAGACCAAAACTAGTCAGCAAAGGTGCCATAACAGACACGAAATGTTTTACTGGTGACAGTAAGCTTTGGGCCATACGATAATATTCATACACACCAATAATGTGCCTCATTGTGACAAATGAAGAGCCACTTGAGAAAAATAAATATTTATTTGCATACTGTGTTCACTGAGAAGCCTGGTATTGAAGCTTTATGTGGCGCTTTGTATTTCATTTAAAATGAAATGAGCAGCTGTCAAGCCTGACTTGTAAGAGATTCTTATGTAAAATTTTATCTATAGTTGATCATGTTTAGACTTTCAGGGATAAACTAAAGGTAAAGTCAAAGTGATGTGTGATTTGTCTGTCTCTGTGTGTGTGTCCGAGGCCTAGTCCACACAGACACAGGTATTTCTGTAAACTGAGTTTTCCCTCCTTCGTTGTCGAAGCAAATCCTGTCCACACACATTCAGTACGTTTACATGCACAGTTAAGGCGAGCTACGGTTATAGAGCTGGACTAGGCCATTTAATTGGACTTCTGTCCTTGTCCCAGTATACAAGCACAGGAGGGAATCAGTTTATTGACCAAAGTATGTCCAGCTCCCCTACAATAGGTGGCTTTTCACAGACCAAACAATTGAGCGTTGTCCAGGTTGCCATTCCGTGTTTTCCTCCCATCCTTGTATTTCAAAGTATTTAACTGTTTCAGCTGACGCATCATGAACTTCTTCTCCTCTTCCATTCAAACGTGCACAGCTCTGAATGTAGATTTCGCCAAGTTGCTACCGGCTTCTTCGTCTGTTATGTATTAATAAGATTCGACTCCCAAGTCAAAGCCAGAAAACTCTGGAGCATGCACAGAGCACCTAGGCCAGTTAGGGTCCAATTGACTGTATACATACATGCAGGAGTAATCTGACTCCCAATCACATTATCTAGGTGTTTGTCTGACGTTGAGAAATTAGATTATGATTTGTCTGTCTAACATGTTAACGTGTTTTGAAAGTCTGGTTTTAGTCGGACAAACACAATAAACTGATTTTCTCTAAAGTCATGTAAACATACTGAAATAAAATAACGTACTAAATAAAAAATCTATCCAAATGAAAATGCCAGAACACAATTGGAGCATTGTTAAGAGCATGCCAGCTCATAGGCGTTGATATAACTGTAACCTTAAAGCAATGTGAAGAAGAAGATGTTAGCCAATCAGAAGGCTACGTGGAGCAGTGACCTCCGTTGCACATTCTGACGCCTTTGTTTCTTAATATAGTTGGAGAGAAACTGTACATTTAGGTGTAAACATGTAAAAAGTCCTGTTTGCAAGGTTAGAACTGGCACTATTTTGTTCATGTCCACCACTGCATGAAATGCTGCATCATTTGTGATGCCTCACAAAGGACTTAACGGCACACACACTGACATCACTGTCATCTTTGCCCTGGCCAGAGTCTTACAAAAGATTATTTTTAGTGACCTAAAACTCAGTTTGTGTGTGGACAGAGGCCCAAAGAGCATTATAAACTCGTGGTTACAAAAATACCTATATCTGTGTGGACTGAGCCTGAAAGAGAGGTTGTTTCTGTCTAGTCCTCATGACGCTAGTGCTTCATTCTGCCTTGTTCAGTCTGAATTTTATAGATCTGTACTCACCCAGGCAACTGAAAGAATTACTTTAGATTAGATCTGATGTTCTTTCATAGGGCTTTACATATCCGACTCAGGTGAGGTAAACATGGCATTGTATTTTGTGGTGTCTTCATGATGAGTGTTCACATCTCCACGAAAGCACGTTGTGTAAAAATACAGAATAATCTCTAATGTCTTTAACCAAATGCTGTTTAAAGCAATTCTCAGTGTACCATTAAAAAGAGGCCAATTAAAATAGATATATAATACTCATGAGATTATATAACACGAGTAGTGTAATACTATAGAAGAGTTATATCTTAGGTCAGATACCTACATGTGTCTTTAACATACAAGAGTTGCTTTTTCCCAATAGCCGGTAGCCACAGTCGTAATGTGGCTCTCAACAGATAATCTTTTTTTCCAATTATTTCCCAACTCAGAAATAAAAGCACCAGAAATATTAAGTCCTGCAAAATTCTAAATATCCCCCCTTTAAAGTTATTATTAGTGAGATTTGTATATGTTTGGTGATACATTATGGTTTTGGTGACTACTAATACTATATAAGATGTACGTATGTAGCTGTATTAATGTGGCCTATCACTTTAAGTGAAACCCAGGTGCTGTTGCATTAACTGTCACTCTTGATGGTATATAAAGGTATCCACTGTGACTCTAGTTCAATGGTAGCATTGTGTTCAGCTTGGCTGAGGCACTGCCGAAAGTGCCGTGCTGCTCATGGAAAGGGACATGCATTGGAGTTACATATAATAGAGGTCTTATACTAACTTAGAGTTTAAAACATAAATATGAATACATTTTGACTGGCAGGCCACGAGGTGCCCGGACTCACTACTGAAGTATGTTAGCCAAAAGGGAATACTGTGAAATACCAAGCGCAGCTGAAATAATGGGTGTAGTCAGTTTATGCATTCAACTAATTCAGATACCCATGTGTGGCAATAAAGTTCATAAAGGTATGTTTGATGGTTGGTGGTTCAGCCTTGATAGAGAACTGTTTCTATTGTCAACTTGAATTAAACATTTTAATGATGGAAAAAAGTATCAAAACATCAATAGCAGAGCTGTTTAAAAGCTGTCTGAGTCAAGTCTCAGTTCTTGTTGAAGCAAGTTTCAATTCAAGTCTCAGTTCCTAGGAAAAGTCGAAGTTTATTCACAACTCTGCATCAGCCAGTGACAAGTTAGTTTCATGTCTTTCAGGTCTCTTTATAGAAGAATTCCCATGGCATTTCAACTATTTATTTTCCAAAGCCCTGATAATTCTCTGCATAGCTGAGACCAAGTCCTGTCAATGCATAGGCCCAATAATCTTTATAAACAGCCAACGGGACAAGATTTTGGCATGGCAAGAGTTCAGGGGCCATATTCGCAAAGCTTCCTACTGCTAAGAGTTGCTCCTAGTGAGGAAATTCTAAGAAAATTCTTAGAACTGTAACATATTTCCCCTTAAAGTTAAGACTAGGTCCTTGTGAAAATAAAAGTTCTTCACAGAGCATTTTAGCCCTTAAAAGAGCACCTAAGCAGAGAGGAAACTTAAGAGTTTCTTAATCAGAGGAGAAAATGTTGGAACACAAAGAGGTCAGAGAAATATTCTCCAAACGCTGGATGACAGTGAGTTAATGAAATGCTACAGATTAGATCATGCAGAGATAATATTTGTGGTCGATCTCATTAGTGATACACACACATAAAGAAATAAAATGATCAAAGTTGTAAGATATTTGGAAAAAAAAGCAAGAGTGCAGTGCAGTCTGTATCATACCTAGCAACGGGGTCAACCACACCTCCTCACTCAGATACAGGTATCTGTCTCTTCCTTCCTCAGAATTGCTCTGAGAACTTTCCTAAATCATTACTAGGCAAAGACTCCTTACATAAATGTTTAGCCGAAGTTAGGAGCTCTCTCAGAATGTTTGTGAATACGGCCCCAGGTTTCTGTTTGTAGTTTGGAGTCATATTGACCAATCATGACTAAGCGGCAGGCAATCTCAGAACCCACTGCCTTCTGTCTGAAGATTCATGTATGCAGAATCTGTTCATAGAGATTAATCAGCAGGTAAACAGTCTGTGTGGAGAGGCAGAACACACTGTCCGAAATGCAGTCTCAGAACCCACTGGCTATCGTCTGACACCAGAGACAATAGGGATTAGCCAAAATGACCAGCGCTTGGCAGAAGAAGTCTTGGCCCAGATATCCGCTGGCTACACCGAGTCTTCTGAAATATTGTCCCTTGCCCCCAGAGTGTATATATCTTTGTCAGACAGGTAGCTAATGGGTTCTGAGATTGCAGTACTAATAGTTAAGCAGTCAAGTGGTATGGCTATTTAAAGCAAAACCTGAGACATTATTATTTTGCTTTAAAGTCTACTTGGACTTTTAAGTCCTCATTTTTGTGACTTAAATCTGCTCTGTTAAACAGAAACTCTTCGCTGTCCATCCATAGTATGTTCATTTTACAGTTATTTTGTGTAAAGCTGTCATCCTTTAAAACTCTTCTAAAATTCTGTATTCAGCCACATTTTCGCAAAGACATTTGTGCTTGGAATAAACTGAGCAGATGGACAGTGAAGTTACTCTCTAACAGCTTTATAGGTTGTCAAAGTTATGAATCTCTTCAATAACTTGCTGTCAGTGTTAACTATTATCACTAAGTTACTGTCATATTCTTGTTATTCTTGCAGGAGAAACCAAGGGCCAAAGCACAGATTATACTGAAGCAACCAGAAATGTATCACACACATGTAAATGTTAGAGTTTCTTCTATTGAAATGATGATTAAAATGATTTTCTTGTTGTAACGTGGTGGTTTGAAGCTGCTTCTGTCCAACATACGATGATTATTTTTGTTGCAGATCAAACGTACAAAATAAAAGCAGCAGTTGCTCGACATTTTAAATGACACATCATGTTACAGTGCAGCAAATCACACATGTAAGTTAATTTTTGAATATTTTCCAGCAGTATGAAATTCCAGTCAGCTGCTCATGATAACTGTCCCAACGAGGAGGTGGAGGTGGTTTCTAGAAATCGATAACTATTACTTATAAGTCCTTCCTTATAAGTCCTTTTTATTTCAACTGTTGTATTTTGTAGTAGAGTGCCCCAGGAATGATGTTTTTCTGCAGGCCGGCATACTTTCTTTTTATACTTTTAGTAGGTACTGCAGCTGCCCTTAAAAAGTACGTATTGTTGCATGCAGTATGCACACAACTGGGACATACTACTTTCTCATAAGATTATGCTCTGAACTTCGACCCCCTTGCTTTTATATCTGTTACCTTGGAGATAAAACTAAATGCCATTTACTGAGTTCCCAAAGATGGAGATCAACCTGGAGAGATCTGCTGTTGTTACTTTGCAATGTGTGTTTAACTAGTTATAACTGCACAAATTGTAGATTCTAACATATTATATTTGCAACAGTCAAACTACATCTGCATTTCTCTGTCAATTATTTCTATAGTTATGTCCTGTTGTTGTTTTTAATAGTTATGATTATTTTGTTCACTTAAACAATCAATATTCCTATTATTACTATTTGACTGGTCATCACTTTTTGAATGTGCTGTCATCCATCAGTGTGTCTTCTAAGAGCTGTCAATCTGCTGTCAAGTTGTCATCTGTTTGCAGCTCAGTCAATGTGACATATTGTCCACTGCACAGAGGACTGTGGGTCAGAATAGCCAGAAAAGCATGTTGGCTTGCATACTGCAAAATTGGACCAGATGTAGTAGAACATCCTGGTATTTTTGGCATACTGCATTAGACATACTATGTATTGGGAAATATTAAATCTTTGTCTGCCATACTATATAGTATGGTGGTATGGGTAATGGGGTCCACAGTCTATGTCAGGCCTTCATAATAACAACAAGGGGAAAAACTCAGATTAATTCATAAGATGTATAAATAGGTGAAGTATTCCTTTAAGGATCATGGCAATATGAGGTATGGTTTTGGTTAACAATACTGTGCCTTGGCATAGAGTAGTTAAATGAAAAAAGAAAGAAAGAAAAGAGGGAAAAACAAATAAGCAAACAGACAAAACAAAACAAAACAAAACACACACAAAAAAAGTTGTAGCTGCTTTAATCAATCGCACCACCCGGGCAGCACGCACAGTGACCCAAATCAAACACACCTAGTGTACAGGTGCATGCTGGTTCAGGCTAATAGACAACATGCTAACACGCTCAAGATGCGTCCAGCCTCCTGTGTTCACTGAGGAACTTTCACCGTCAGTGACACTTGTGAGGAGTTTCTGCTGTTTGTGACGAAAACGTTGAGAATTCGAGGAGCGCAGTGGGACGATATTAACGGGCAGAGATGTTGGAGAACGTGGTGGTGCAGAAGTCCTGCAGAGTGATGTTCATACAGGTGAGTACAGCAACACACTGACTGAACTCTCTAGATGAGAACATCAACAACCACTACTTGCAAGGCAGCATCGTTTATGGGCACTTTGCGGTGTTTAAAACCTGTGCAGTCTGTCTTGTTTCTCTGGAATTTGTGTATTTGTGCTTGTAGCTGTGGTGTTGTTTAGGCCCTACAGGCTGCATGCCTACGCTGTGTGCCATTGTGATGTTTTACCCTGCTGTGGGTTCTTCGATAAATGTCGGGCTTTTAATTTAGGTGGTATAATGTTGGAGTTTGTCTCTGTTCTGGTTAATTCTAGTGAGGCTACACTTAAAAAGACAATTGCATACTTATAAAAGGCAATTACAAGTGAATAGAAAGGGACTTTATTGTTGGTTTGGACATAAGAGGTCATGTTGCTGATGTTGCTCCACTATGTGTATACCCTGACATTTAATGCAGTTTATTTTTTGTGTAAAGATGTTCTCTAATATGAGTATCATACAACATCATCAAGTAACAGCACAAGTACAATATTCTAGTACTCTTTTCATCCCTGATTGTTGCATATCATTTTAAAAACCTTTCAGACGGTCATTCCTTCTCCATAGTTCCCACAACAAACATTTTTGCCTCCGTGTCAAATGCATCTTTGTAAGCACTGGAAGAGAGTGAGAAGGACATGGATGACATGAGGATTAATGTGGGATTGTTTACTCTGTTGCATTCTCTCAGTCTAGCTCCACATCCAAATGCATGCTGTTGCCAGGGATCCCCTAAAAGGCTGAGTGGGAATAACTAGAGGAAAAAAGGCGGAAACAGTGAGCCCATTCAAGTCTGCATTCTTTCTGTCTGTTTCACGCCCCGGCTGAGAGAAAGCACTTCAGAGTTCACAGCTGTTGGTCAAGCTGATTCTAGCCTAGATCGTTTCCCTGATGCTGAATATTCCCACAGCAACACAGCAGATGTTGCCATCGGCAAAAGAGGAAAAGTCCTGTAATAAGCCACTGATGAGCCAGCTCTGGCCCAGTCTCAAGTTAAGCATTTCTTAAGCACTAGTGGTGCTGTAGAGAAGTGAGTTTCAAAAGCGGGTCCCTTAGTGTTTTACTAGCTCATGCTCATTTGGAACACAAGGGTGACGTGATGTGCACTTGTGCTGACTGCAAATGTGAAGATGCAAGTTTGTGGAGGCAAGGACAGAGCACTAAATGAAAGTGAGAGACATGGCATAGTCATCAGTCGTGCTAATAAGCAGAATTTAGGTACTCAATATGAAAATTATACATATACACAGTAGCCCCAAACACCCAACAGTTTCACATATACATGATTGAGGTAAAACAACAATGCACCAAAATATAAGAGGACAGAAAGCCAAATAGGACATGTTTAAAAAGTTTTAAAAGCACGTTTTGCAAACCAGAACACGTTTGTTTGGCCCCAAGGATGCACTCTCTGTGAAATGCATTGTCTGTAATCCAGACTAAGTTTGATTACAATGAAGTAACACTTCTGACCTGTGACCTTCTGACTGGAAATGGCAGTGGTTCCCAACTGGTCCATCCACAGGGTCCAGATTTCTCCGTAGTCATTAGTTCAAGGTCCACGCAGTTTAATATATTCAGCGTCACACTTGCATTTGGCCATGTCGTCAAGCTAGTTTGCTGTATCCTCCAAGTAGCTGTCTATTAATCACTCACTCTACAGCAGGAAACAGCACTTCAAATAAAAGCTCTGTGCTGGAAATTCACTGTACGTAAAAATAAGGTGTGTTTTTTACTAACTTGACACATTTGTGAGTCACCTCTGGTCCATTCAGAATGGGCTTGTGACCCACCAATTGGGAACCACTGGTATAAATGATGACGACTGATTTACTCAAGAGCTGATGGCAGGAATGGTCCTACCCCATCACGTCTTGTCAGGTAATAGATTTAAACTTAAAACACAAATAAGGAACATTAAACTAGTGAACACATGAACTGGGCTGTTAAACTGCTACTCAGCATTTCATTTTTTTGTGATTTAATCATTTTAATTGCTTCAGCGAGGCCCAAGAAATTGAGTTCTCAAAATAATACACCACATTCAGGTCAGGGTCAGGACACATTCCTCTTTCAGTGAGGTGTTGGCTCACTGGAAGAGATAAGAGGAAGGAGACACATTTAACACAGAGGCAAACTTTTAATTTGAGTGTTTGAGGACAGGTGATTCAACTCAATGAACTTACAGGGTGAGCAACATGAACACAGAAACAGAGTCCATAGAGAGGTCGTTCATAAGAGAGGCTATATTAGGAACCAGCAGATATAATAAATGGTCACAGAGTAAAGTAAATGTTAATAAAGTATTTGGAGTATGCATTAATCTGAAATACTAACACCCACTTTAGTGTGATACATTTCTTTTTGTCTTCTCTTCTTTTCCTAAACTTTAAGATAAACTTGTTGGCTCTGACTTTGCTTAAGTCTTCATAATGTTTTCCTCCTCCAGTGCCAGCTGGCAATTATAGATGTAATGATCTGCTCAATGCAATCACACGTACAGTTGTAATCGCTTCAAACATCCTCTCTCTGGACAGAAAATCCCCGTTTGTATAAGTGTTTGTCAGAATGAATTATTTATTTGATAACTTGTCCGTGAGGAAAAGCTTTTGTTGACAAGACAGAAAAATAATTGAGTGTTTGGATAATTGAACTCTGTATAAAACTTTCAGTTGCTGCATAGGTTTAGCACATTAATTTATACTTAACATTGAGTATTGTGTGTGTGATGGGCTGTGTTTTTGTAGATTTTTTAATAATACATTGGATTTATAGAGCACTTCTCTGGATATTCAAAGATGCTTTACAGAGAACAAGAACAACAAAACAAAAGATAAAACAAAAACAAAATAATCCAAAGAGGAAGAAGGACAGATTTTTTTTACTTAAGCGTGTACATCCAGATGTTTTATTTATTCTGCTTTCTTCTCTCTGTGTGTACTCATTACTAGAATGTTGACACATTAATATTGGGGGCCACCCTCTCTATAATCATGTCCATGCCCTGTATTGTAAATATGTCACCCAGATGCTGTGTATGTTTCAGAGAATCACTTTGATTACTTTTAAAGTCATTAAGTCTTGTCTAGCCCATGCTGATGAAACCTTTTGGCACTGTGTTAATGAAAGACAGCTGGATGGGATCTGTGCAGCACAGTGGATCTACTGACTTTGTTTGGCCTTTCTGTCTCATGACTTTAGTTTTAATCCCCGAATTCTTGTGAATTCTGTTTTCTTTTCTTCATTTTTGTAGTTTTCCTTCTTTACAAACACGCCACATATTTTGCAGCTTAGAAAACATGAATATAAAAGGTGCTGTGTGTGACGTACTGCACACAGATGAATCAGTGCATGGTCACCTACGTGCGCCTCTTTCCATAGATGACTATCTGAGGTAC